TACTATGAAAGGAAATATTGAATTATTTATGAACATGATTCAGATAAATATGAATCTATTGATGCAGCCAGTAACTCGAGCTGTCCTCGGTGGGAGATCGCTTACTATGCAACCAGATAGTGTGGGGACTGGGGCGATGTTTCTGTTCAGAGGGAACAGCTGGGGTTTTGTGTTGGGGAGTACAGATTGTCAAGAAACAATATTTATCGAGTAACCACACGTGGCTGTATCTCTAATATCTATACAGTGTTGATGGTATCATATTCGCTCACTGGATACTTCAACAAACTGTTGCTGGGTTGATACAAAGGAAAATGACAGAGCTAAATAAATTCTTTCGCGCGGAAAGATAATGAAGACCAGGATGTTTTGATAAATACCAGGAGATACATTTAGAAAATAATCAATAATATGTGATAATATGTTTTTCGCTGTTGCGAAATAAAATGCATTTTTAGTCGACGTTATTTGGCCAGTGCGAGTTATAGATGAGTGAGTAGTTTCACGCCGGATTTAGCAATATTCCAGCAATATCACAGCGGGGGACACCAGAAATGGGCTTCACACATTGTACCATGTTGGGAATCGAACCTGGGTCTTCAGCGTGCCGAGCGAACGCTTTTACCACTAGGCTACCCCACCGCTCCCACAGTTAGACAAGCGTGTCACTGACGTTGCTGCTGGACGGCGTCTCAACTACGACAGACACCTGGTGTCAGCTAAATTACATATTCTCCTGAATGTCTCCGTCTTGGCATAACATTCTGAATAGCCTTCGTCACTGTAAATTTAAAAATAATGAATCTAAATTAATAATAAAAAAATTCTGGTGTGTTTGTGACTGTGTTCCGATAAGAACATGGGACTTATAACTTATGCTTAACACAATACACAGCACATGCACCTCTGTTTAGTGAAACATCAATTTCTTATAACGTCGTATTTGAACTACTGTATTTGCTCTCGATGAGTGAGTGAGTGAGCATGGTTTTCCGCCGCTTTTTGCAATACTCAAGCAATATCATGATAAATAATCCACTCGTTTGGTACATGGAAACCAACAATCTTCTAACTGATATACAGTTTGGTTTCCGTAAGAACAGAAGTACCATTGATCATTAAGTGTGTTTGGAGTGAGTGAGTGAGTTTAGTCTTACACCGCTTTTAGCAATAGTCCAGCAATATCACTGCGGGGGACGCCTTAAAGTGGATTTATACATTGTACTCATGTGCATTACATTACACAGTGACGCGATGTTCGCGGACAGTCCTCGTAATGGTGGCCGTGTTTGGCAGCTTGCCTCCAGTCCTGCCCCACAACGAAGCACATGTAACGCATGTGGTCTCACCTTAGGCAAGTGAGTTTGTTCAAACTTGCCTCTGTCCACCCGGCAGTAAAAGTGGTTACCTGGTATGATCACAGGCCCTCGTGTCCTTGCGAGGATTAAAGAGGTTAAAAAAATATAAAAAACATTTGAGATGACCCCCGACTCGAAATGCTTCACAGTACAGTACATTATGATGTATTGTACTGTGTTACATTTCTAGTCGGGGGTCATCTCAAAAAAATATATTTTCAATTGTTAATCTTCGCAAAGACACGAGGGCCTGTGGGTATGATACGATGGTAGTCTGAATCTGAACCTTGAGCGCCTGACAGGGTACCGGTTGTATTCTCCACAGGGAGTGTTCTGTACTCGTTAACCGGGGGTGATATGTCAGCGCTTTGAGCATGCAATGTGCATGGATAAATGCACAATATAAATGGATATAAGTATAAATATATAAATATTATATACATAATTAGCGTTCTCTAGACTACAACATATAATCATGGTTCATAGCACGTTACAGTCATTTTAAGGAGTACAGAACAGCGATGCTATAAAAGAATTAGAAAATACACCCATGGTTAGTAGCCACCGACATCAAGGTCCATGATCTCATACAGCAGTTTAACGTATCATTGAACCGAACACACGCGACACACTCTAATAAATAACCCGATCGGGTAGTCACACAAACTATACAGACTGCAATTAAATATTCAAAACGGCATATTGTTTATTAGTATTGCAGTAAAGTAACCAGGGGGTCCTTTCACGAAGCAACCTTAACTAAGGTTAACCTTAACTCCCATTCTTTAACATTGCACTAAGGTTACCTTAGTAACCTACCATCCCCTTAGTGCTTTGTGAAAGGAGGCCCTGAAGAGTACAACTGAATACCAGACAAATACATGAAAGGATACCACGTTCCACATGAACCTGATGACAGTGCAAAGGGTCGTAACGTATAGTTGAGGTACGATAGATTAAACTTAAAGCATAATAGCAAAACGATTTCAACAAAGTAGAAGAAAGTAAAGTTTGTTACTTGGGTGAAATTACTAAACAGACGCAGAATGATTTGTGCCTGTCGTCCGTATTAGGAACATATCCCAGTTCTCATAGATAAACGCATTTACTGATTGAACTGACGGCCTCTCTGGTGTAGTGGTTAGAGCGTCCGCCCGGAGAGCGGAAGGTCGCGGGTTCGATCCCCGACAGCGTCATACCAAAAGATGTTAAAATATGGTACTTGTTGGTCCCTGCCTGGTGCTCGGCATTAATGGGTACAACAAGGACTGGTCGGCTTGGAGTCAGTATAATGTGTCTGAGTGGGGGTATTCATGCTTCACTGCGGCGTGGTATCTCAGTGGGCTAGCTTCAGTCTGGGCTAGTACAAGCAGCCTCACATACACATACACACGCATGCACGTCGTCATATGAGCGAAATATTCTCAAGCACGACGTTAAACCCAATTTCACCACACCTCACTGATTAAACTTAGGATAACGTTGTTTTTGTCAGCTTGAGATTATATGATATAGATTGACCGGGGTAACTATGATAAATGTGGACAATGCACGACCAGTTGCGAGTATGCCACGAAGGTGTATGTGGCACGCACGTGATTTGACCAACGTGGGATACAAACAGCCGTGAAGACAGATGAATGTGTTGCCCCCTGGTTCTGCAAGCTTAGGAGATTCTGATCCCGGATTATGTCCGATGCTCCTTATCAATGTGATCCTGACAGGTTAAGATAATGGAATGTGGTCTGTGAATCTATTATATTTCCAATTTCCAGTAACATAATGTCATAAAATATTTGTGAAACTTTGTCCGTTAATAGATCTATCGCATTAGTTTTAGTCATTAGCTTTGTTTCATACATACATGCATGCATACATACATACATACATACATACAGACGCACGCACGCACGCACGCACGCACACATACACACACACACACATACATACATACATACATACATACATACATACATACATACATGCATGCATGCATACATACAAACATGCATACATGCATGCATGCAAACAGACAGACAGACATACATACCTAGACAGACATACATACATACAGACATACATACAGACATACATACATACATACATACATACATACATACATACATACATACATACATACATACATACATACAGACAGAGACATACATACATACAGACAGACACGTACATACAGACAGACAGACACGTACATACAGACAGACAGACATACATGCATGCATGCACACACACACACGGCACACATGGACATTTGTTTTCTGAAAAGAATTCGAAATGAAAAGATAAAAACGGTGAGCGTTACGTTTAGACTCTTATTTAACGCCGTCAAGTGATATAATTAGTTCTGTTTTCATCACCACCATTACATACTCAATATGACATTCAAGGTATGTCCGCGGTAGATTAGCGTAGTAGTCTATCCCTGCCATATTGTTGTCATACTAATTCTTGTAACGAACTGTCACGTACGCTCCTCGCATGACTGCGGTCAAAGTACAACAAAAAGTCATGTACTTCAGTGTTAAAAATAACTAAAACTGAACGCTAACATCTCATTGAGAACACGGGGGGTGGGCTAGCCTTCTGGTTAAAGCATTCACTCGTCACGCCGAAGACCCGGCTCGATTCCCCACATGAGTACAACGTATGAAGCCCATTTCAGGTGTCCCCCGCCATGATGTTGATGGAATATTGCTAAAAGAGGCGTAAAATCCAACTCACCCACTCACTGTGTAATTAACTCATCGTTTATTTACTTAGGTCTTCTGTGTGGGTTGGTGTAGTGGAGCATCTTGCCAAGCGAGTTGATTCCCCAAACACTTTTAATAGATCGAACACGGCAAAGAATAAAGAATAAAAACAAGAAAGTCCCATCCCAATACCCATCGCTCACCCACCCATGGACGCTCAGCGGCGCGCGAAATACAGCTTGTTTACCTTCATGCATATATACATGTAAACACTACAACTCTAATACTCACCAAACAACTTTGAAATGTGAACTTTGGTGGCATATTCACGAGATTTGAGAGCGTGAACAAATGTGTAATACTGTAGTAGTTGTTTGACGGGCATTCTCGGATTTGGTGGGGACTGCCTCCGTGGTGTAGTGGTTAGAGCGTCCGCCCGGAGAGCGGAAGGTCGCGGGTTCGATCCCCGACCGCGTCATACCAAAAGACGTTAAAATATGTACTTGTTGGTCCCTGTCTGGCGCTCGGCATTAATGGGTACAACAAGGACTGGTCGGCTCGGAGTCAGTATAATGTGTCTGAGTGGGGTATTCATGCTTCACTGCGGCATGGTATCTCAGTGGGCTAGCACTATAAAACCAGCTTCAGTCTGGGCTAGTACAAGCAGCCGCACATACACAAACACACGCATGCACGTCGTCATATGAGCGAAATATTCTCAAGCACGACGTTAAACCCAATTTCACCTCACCTCACCTCTCGGATTTGGTGATGAAATAGCGAAGCATACAACTTGATGGTTACAATTTGTTTATTGCTTAGAGTGACGTTTCCATGTAGATTCACACATCGTTATTAAGCTGAAAGTGCTTAATCAAGAAGTTATCAACAAAGTTGTACGCTTCGGTACGTGTAAATGCTTAAAGGTACTTACAGAAACAGTCCTTTTTGCCTGTGTGGAGCTCAACTGCAATCTGCTTCCCCTTCGTTATTGCGCGTATTGACAGTGTGCCATGCATGAAGCTTCTGTAGCATATACAGGATTATATAAATGAATCAGTAAGGCGGTCAATATCTGGGACACGGTTATGTATCCTCCAGGCCGGGAAGTAATGAAATGTTTCTCGGGCATTTAAATATCTCGGAAAATCGAAAACGTGTTTCTAATTCTTCGCATCATGTGAAATGGCATGTTATCCGAACTTAATCCGAATAATCCTTAATTTCTTATCCGAGTTAAGTTTTACGGTGCATTTAGCAATATTCCAGCAACATCACAGCGGGGGACACCAGAAATGGGCTTCACATTGCACCCATGTTGGGAATCGAACCCGGGTCTTTGGCGTGACAAGCGAACGCTTTAACCACTTGGCTACCCCACCGCTCCCACAGTAAGAGTGAGTGAGTTTAGTTTTAGGCCGCTTTTAGCAATATTCCAGCAATATCACGGCGGTGGACACCAGATATGGGCTTCACACATTGTATCCATGTTGTGAATCGATCCCGGGTCTTCGGCGTGACGATTTAACCACAAGGCCACGCCACACACCCCCACAGTAGTGAGTGAGTTTAGTTTTACGTAGCTTTTAGCAATATTGCAGCAATAACACGGCGGTGGACACCAAAAATGGGCTTCACACATTGTATCCATGCTGTGTATCGAACCTAGTTCTTCGGCGTGACGAGCGATCGCTTTAACCACAAGGCTACCCCACAGCCCCGACAATAAGACTGACTGACTGACTGAGTTTAGTTTTACGCCGCTTTTAGCAATATTCCAGCAATATCACGGCGGGGGACACCAAAAATGGGCTTCACACATTGTATCCATGCTGTGTATCGAACCTAGGTCTTCGGCGTGACGAGCGATCGCTTTAACCACAAGGCTACCCCACAGCCCCGCCAATAAGAAGAGGATGACACTGAACGGTGTGTATGAGCAGATTGCTGCCTGGACGACACCTCAACTACGACAGCTGGTATCAGCTAAACAACATAGTATGGCTACGTGTATTTGTTGGTCATCGTGGTGACGGAAACTTAATTTTTTTAACAAGTAGTTCATTATTTGGACTTATTGTTTTCACTACGAAAATACAGGCATATCACGAAAACACTTTGTGAAACATGTGCACGAGAAACAGTTTGCTAAGCAGCTCGAGTACTGCCGCCGGCTGGCATTGACGTATGCCTAATGGACGTTGTGATGTATGACGAACGATATTAACAAATAATAAATTACAAACAGGGCTTTGTGACAGCATGGGTAGATTCATTCTTGGATGTTAAGCGCATGAGTGGTTGGAGCATGCACACATCGTATGCTATTCTTGGATAGCTTTCATAGAAAGTAGTTTGTCCATTAATTGTGCTGAATTGCATTTTCTGCGCTGGTGTTAATAAAATACGTTCATGTGAATTTTAGATTTTGTCAGGAAAAGACAGAGCCCTTTGTTCTGGCAACAGTACATCATAACATGTCATGTGTACAAGTATCACACCTGCCTGTCTGTGTATATATATATATATATATATATATAAATATCACATAGATAAATAAAAACAGAATGCCTATATATATGTAATGACGTCATACTGTAAACGCTACAATCTCGCCCCTGAAGAGTAAAGAACGATACATGTTGGAGAAATAGGCATTCTGTTTTATGTATCTATGTGATATATATATATATATATAATTATGTTCTCTCATGAGAGCCCAGACAAATACTAGAGATCCTTGAACTGTACACTGATGATTGTAAAGAGTCCGTCTGTCACACTCATAGGAGATAGGGCGTATGCACAAATTGTAAATGTATGCTATCAAAGATACATTAGAGTGGTTATGTAATCACACATGTAATCGCTATTAAAAAAAGTCTTTGATAATGGAGCCCTGTCTAAACCAAGATTACTCAAGCTGGCGTCCCACAGGGATCAGTGTTGGGTCCGTTTCTATTCATTGTTTAGGTAAAAAAATATTGCTGATGATTTCGATTGTATAACTCGACTATTTGCTTATGACACATCATTAGGCAAGGCTTCTGAAAATCTGAACAGAATAGAAACCTCATTGTAGAAATATTCCAGCAACATCACGGTGGGGGACATCAGAAATGGGCTTCAAACATTGTACCCATGTTGGGAATCGAACCCGGGTCTTTGGCGTGACGAACCAACGCTTTAACCACTAGGCTACCCCACCGCCCCCCTTATGTAAAGAAGATAACAGCAAACGATACACAGCATGAGAACGTGGATGTTCGTCAAATCGTCAGACTGAGTTTGGTTTTACGCCGCTTTTAGCAATATTCAAGCAACATCACGGCGGAGGACACCAGAAATGGGCTTCACACATTGTACCCATGTGGGGATTCGAACCCGGGTTTTCGGCGTGACGAGCCAACGTTTTAACCATTAGGCTACCCAATCGCCCCCAAATCGTTATATAAAAAGACACTTGTTACAACAACGCCTGGCTATCGTCCTTCGCAGCATACAACAAGTTATGGACGGCTCCGATTCGTCATCATGTGTCTGAGTGGGACTGCAAGGTGGTATAGTAGTGGGTTAGCACTATAACAAACACATTAGTATTGACTAGTGAGTGAGTTTAGTTTTACACCGCACTCAGCAATATTCATGCTATATGGCGTCGGTCTGTAAATAATCGACTCTTGACCAGACAATCCAGTGATCAACAGGATGACTGACTGACTGAGTTTGGTTTTACGCAGCTTTTAGCAATATTCCAGCAACATCACGGCGGGGGACACCAGAAATGGGCTCAACAGGATGAGCATCGATCTACGCAGTTGGGATACGATGACATGTATCAACCAAGTCAGCGAGCCTGACCACCCGATCCCGTAAGTTGCCTCTTACGACAAGCATGGGATACTGAAGATCATTTCTAACCCGGATCTTCACGGGTTGCATTGACTAGTGTCTACGAGCACACACGCGTACGTGCACGTTGGTATATCTATACCCACCTCACAACACGTTATATAAAACAAACCGTTCCTGTGTAATACTGTTATGTAGATCTGACCAAACATCGATTGTGTTGGGGCGTTGTGTTAGAAAGGGACTGGCAGAACGAGCGAGTATATTTATACGCTGCTTTTAACAACATTCCAGCAATATCAGGGCAGGTGACAGCACAAATGGGCGGCTCACATTTGCATCCATAGTGGGAATCGAACCCGGGTCATCGGGGTGATGAGGGAACGGTCTAACCACTGGGCTACATTGTGCATGGTATCTCATGGGGTTTGCACTAGTGATCCGGCGTTAGCCAAGTGCAATCTATGAAACATATGCCACTCACACTTTGCTAAGGATCACCAAAATTCCCAACTTTACTTAAACATAGATCTATAATTTGAAATTGTATCCATTTAAAACTAGATAAATAATGTTATAGTAACCCTTCTTTAGGCAAACAACCACTTTAATCTAACCTTATCCACTTGATACCTGAGTAACCATAAACATGTTTTTTATGGCACCAATCAACCATTTTGCAAATCATGGAACGAGTCATTGACAAGTACACAACACCTGTCAGTAACAGGTGTGGGATCTACAAGATGCAATGACACACTGAAACTTGGGATCCATGCTTACAATAAGCTGAGATATTTAAACCAAATTAGACCTCACATCAAAGTTTTCTGTTGAATCAATGGTCTGATCCTTAGCAAAGTGTGAATAGTATATATGATATGCAACAAAATACCAACAATACGTATAAAAAAAAACACATTTAATCATTTTTATCATTCACATACATTTGTCAAAGTTCTGAAATCACAGCTCACAGTCACAATATTAATTTTGAAAACGACCAATCAGGAAACGAGCACAATATTCCGTCTTGTGATCGAAGCGACCATCATACCATAGTAACTGGGGTGGTGGTTGACGAGGAGATCCGGTTGCCATGACGACAGGCCCCCTGCAGAGAATACCCCGTGCATCATGACGAGGCCTGTGTATCCACATGAGAGGGCTCTGTCAACAAGCTGCGAGGCAGTGACCAGTAAGGCGTGCTCGTCCAGTGACCCTGCCCACTCGCCTACAGCCTGAAACCACAAAACGAATTGAACATTCTTTTTAACTGGGTGAGGTGAAATTGGGTTTAACGTCGTGCTTGAGAATATTTCGCTCATATGACGACGTGCATGCGTGTGTATGTGTATGTGCGGCTGCCTGTACTAGCCCAGAGTTAAGCTGGTTTTATAGTGCTTTTTAACTGGTTGGTCCAGGGTGAGTGAGTGGGAAAGTTTAGTTTTACGCCACTTATAACAACATTCCAGCAATATCACGGCGGGGGACACCAGAAATGGGCTTCACACATTTCATCCACGTGCGGAATCGAGCCTGGGTCTTCGGCGTGACGAGAGAACGTTTTAACCACTAGGCTACCCCACCGCCCCAGTTGGTTCAGAAGCATGCTCATTATGCATATTTGGTTGAGTTGACGGGTGGGGGTGCGGGTGGGGGTGGGGGTTACACACTTCAATTCCACTCGTTTTCACGAGTGTGTTGTTGGCTATTTAATAAACTGTCAGGACAAAACAGGTGTTGCCCTACTTCCCCCCCACCCTTCTTGATCCGCCTATGCTATTACAAATCAGCAAGGTGAAATTGAGAACGTTTTCAGTTGCCATCGTCATATCAAACCGGTCGGGGTCCAAGCATCAGCGCTGGATAACGTTCAAAGGGAGATAATTGGAAAAGATTACACCTACTTCAGCCGTGGCCTTGCATGAACATTCCTAATTTACTGGATTGTCTGGTCCAGACAAATGTTGTTTACTGCAGACCGCCGCCATATAGCTGAAATGTTGCTGAATGCGGCGTTACAAAACCAACCAACCCGATCCATCCCGCACCACGCTGCCAAGGCTATTAAAGTGATCTGGCTCAAATACTGGACAGTGTACCAAACTCGGTCAAGGACGTACTTTTGTTTGTTGTTTACACCACCGGATAAGTCCGGCTATACGGCCTGTGAATATCTGAGGGGGTAGTCCGCGCAACTGGTCAATGTCATCGACCCTGACCACTGTTCCTGACCATGGAGCCTTACCACCGACCGGTTTGTCCACTTGTACGACCAACACAATCGGCAAGGTATCAATTCTCACACAAAATCCCAACGGGAGCCCACTGATGTATTTCCTACAGGCATCGTCTTAGAAAATCTGAATCTGAATAATGCTACTAGATTTTTCTCTTTCTTTGTTATCTCCTGTTCTCCCTGGGGGTGGGGGTGGGGGGGTAGCCTAATGTCTAAAACGTCCACTCGTCACGCCGAAGACCCGGGTTCTATTGCCCACGTGGGTACAATGTGTCAAGCCCATTTCTGGTGTCCCCCGCCGTGATGTTGCTGGAATATTGCCAAAAGCGGCGTAAAACCATACTCACTCACTAAAGTTTCGTTATCTGTCTGATTTCAGCGACCATGTCCTGAAGTTACAGCCTCGTTTCCATCCAGATTTGTGTATTGGTGGATCACAAAGTAATGAACAGGAGCAGTAGCTTAACGGTTCTACTGGTCCAGTTTTAGGGACGAGACATGGTATTTTGTTCACGATTTTCAAAGCAGGCAGCTGTAATTTGATATCCCGTAGTCCCTCACTCATTCACTCGTGCCCGCCCTGAATTTTCATTCCGACGTAAAAGGAAATGTAAAGAATTTCATATCTCATGTTTTTCCCCTGCCACAGTGAAAAAACTATTGGAAGAACAAATAGTCTTAACAATGCACACTCATAAAAACAGGCCAGCTTGATCTTTCATCATTTTCATTCATCAAAAAGAAATAAATTGAGAAGCAAAACAACTCGATCGACATCGTAAATTAATTTAAAGACTATTACCAAGTGACATAAATTAATATATATTTTATAAATTAAGTTACATAACTGCTGAAAAACGTTATTTTATATCTGTAAATGGTTTTGCCCGTCCCCTATTTTCCTGGGGTAGAAATACAAAACAATAGCGATGGTCTTACCAGATCAAAGGGCTCCGACGTGTTGGAGTAACCGTATGGTCCATCTGCCAGGTGCGTGTGCGCTAGATCAGCGCTGATGATCATCACTACTCGTTCTGATAACCCTTCCAGGTAGGTATAGAGGTCAGATCCTGCTCAGAGCATGGCACAAATATGTACAAAACATCAAACAACAATCGAAACATTTATATTTTCTTTTAAAGAAAACATACACCATGGGCTTCACACGTTGTACCCATATGGAGATTCAAACCGGGCATTCAGCGTGACGAGCGAACGCTGTAACCACTGGGCTTCCCCACACCGTGTCATGTTTTAGGGGATCATGATAACCTGCCGGATTCACCGCCACCTGGACTCTCAAATTTATACTGCAATATTACTTCGGTTTTAATATTTTGTGAGAAGTTGTGAAAAGCCTTCTCCTTGTGAATTTTAGAGTACGTTTAAGTCAAACCTAGTTTAAGGAGTTCGGGGATCATGGCAACCTGTTCGGTGTAGCGGCGACTTGGCTGTGACAGAATGACCACACGGGTTCTGGACAGTCCGGGGCCACCCACGAAGTGCAGGGGGGATCACCTCGCCCCATCTGAAACATATTCGACATAAACAATAATTTCCACCGTGTAAAACCTCTCTGCAAATATACGTAGAGAAATAAATAAAGGAACGCAGGACGTGGGGGCGCGGTGGGCGAGCTGGCTAAGGTGCCAGGCTAGTGATCCAGCGAGGTTGAGGTGTCGGGATCGAGGCCACTTGTGACCGGGTGTAAAAACCTTGGAGTCAACTTTGTGTGGACACTCTTTCAGTTTTGTCACAACCCCTGTGCACTTAAAAGAACCCACGAATCGGTTGGCATATGACCAGATGGTGGCCACATGAATACGTGCAATTACCTAGTTGCGGGTATGTGGTACAGCAACGTGCAGTGAACTTGGACAAAGTACCGTGACTATGTGTCCCAGTCCACCCAGCTGTGAATAGGTAGCTCGTTAGGATGAGAAAGCGACAATAACTCAATGCGCCTAGTGGCTGCAAGAGTTGTATATTCCCCCAGGGAGTTGAAATTGATAATACCATGTGCCGTTAAGACTGACATCCAATGATCGAGGGAATAAATACCAGCGCCTTGAGCAACCACTAGTTGCCTGGATATGTGCGCCATATAAATATCCTATAATAATACAATTCAAGTGTTCCTTTAATGTTTTCTAGTTTTCATCACTAGGTTTGAATATCGATGTGGTGATGAAAACTGGAACATAATAAAGTGACACTTGAATTTTCCTGCGTTCCTTTATTTGTTTTATACGTATATAACTGTAAACTAATAGCATTCACTCACAAATGATTACCTCACTCACTCATCAGTGTGCGGATGTGCATTTATTCTCCTGGTCCTTTCACCATGATTTCTAACAATAAACATCTACTTCAAGTTCAACGCCATCATTAATGGGTCGTTATCTTCGATAGTCATCTATCGATAAGTTCCAGATATGAGGAATCAATCATATACACAGTAAAAGGATATTGCGATATATACCCTATCAGTGACAATATAGACATTGACGCCAGGTTTTTGTTACAAGCCCCTGTGGAAATAATCGGACAGAAGACTCGTCTCGGGTGTTATATGCCAAGCTTCTCATGAAACACATTTCTGTAAATTGCAAAGTTCGCCATGAGCTCATTATTTACTATATTGTCAAAAGATAGTAAATCAAGATACGGTAACAATCGAGACTAACAAAGTACTCTCTAATTCCAAAGGTCAGTCAGTACGTACGCAGTGACATAAGGGAGTGATGGAAGCGCTAATAAAATGCTGACGAAAGATGATGTTGGCATATGCCTCAGTGGCTTCTTTTAATAATATAACATTTTTCTATTTCGTTCTATTTCGTTTAACATCAAATGCAATGATAAAACAGAAAACACACACACAAAAAAAAGAATTTTATAAAATATAAATACATAAAAACGAAACAAAAAGAGATTAATGGAGATGTGTGGAAGGCATTACTGACATGCTTTTTGAGAGAAGCGTTATACAAAAGACAGTCCATAAATACATATAGGGGGTGGTGGGGTTTACGTAGACAATTGCTTAAAAAAATACAGAGAAGTAAAATCGGACTAAAACAACACTCATGTAATGCTGCTTACAAAATCGATCACATGATTGTCTGGTCCAGACTCAATGTTTTTTCAGGGCACCGATATATACCTGGACTAATTTCACCACGGCGTTTAACAACAAACTAATTAAACAGTTTACCTGAGAGGAAAGGGTTCGCTGCTCTGTCCAGGTGGTCCGTAGCCCGATATCCCCGACACATTTCTGTCGTATCCAAACTTCCCGACAAGACGCTGAGACACATTGACGTCCAGCCCCACCGACACATTGTAACAACATGGGGGGCACTGACAGTTGTCGGTATCAGCCCCTCCTTGCGCCTCGGGGTTTAAATAAAATCCAAAATTTCTCAAATCTGAGATCCCGTGAGGCGTACTCAAGAATATGAGATCTGGCGCTATCTCGTCTATCTGCTGGCCGACAGCGACACATGCCTTGTGCAGCTCCCATGCCTCCGCTCTCGAAGTTGTGTTCGTTGTGTTGAAGTGGGTAGGGTCAAGAGCGATTCCTCCATGTGGCATAACATACCCTGCAAGGAGCTTGCATGTTACTTCGAAACCTCCACCCGTGACAGTAACAAGAATCGTCAACAAATTGAGATATTTGCTGTAATGAATTCTCGGTCTCGTGTCCCTCATTGTTGTCTAAGGATAGTTATTTAGAGTTACCTCCCTTCGATCGGTATGTTATAAAGTTGATCGCAGGAACGAATTACAGCATTCGTCACCACTCGTCCCTTTGCTCGGTATTCGGCTTCTCCCGGAATAACGTAACACGAGTGGGTCACCAATGGAATTACAGTTGCATTGTACACGATTAAGCGTTCGTTTCGTTATATTTTCTCATTTAACTGTCAGACTGTGTATATTACATATATTGTGATTTTTTTTTTCTGTTCGCTCTTTTTGCTTAGGCGGATCCTGAGGGTGGTATGACGCGGTCGGGGATCGAACCCGCGACCTTCCGCTCTCCGGGCTGACGCTCTAACCACTACACCACGGAGGTGGTTATAACAAGTTGATAGTTGTGTACTTGATAACTATCAACTTGATATCTTGATACCCTAATTAGACTGGTCTTCACCAACCCATGCTCAGGTGATTTGTCTGGCTGACTTTCTTATGCATCTCATCCCATTTGCATTCGCTGGATGCTCATGAGTTCAATCACTGGATTGACTGGATTATTTACAAACCGAAACTAGCTTGATAGTGTAATACTCTTACATAACGAGATGTTTGGGTCTCGGTAATTCATTTTTGTGGTTGTCAGTTTGACACGAGATTCGACTGTATGTATGAACTCTGTAGTTACACAAGAACTTTGAATGACTTGCAACAGTGATGCCAAACTTGGGTTGTTCATGATCATGAGTGAGTGAGTGAGTTTAGTTTTAGGATGTCAGTTTCACCACGAAGTGTCAGCTTTATGTGTGAGGGTGAGTGAGTGTGTATAGTTCTACAGATGTGTCACACATATTTTTAACTTATAAAGTTATAAACTAATACCTGGGATGCAAGTTATGTAGATGACCTTCAAGGAGGCGTGTATGCTATAACTCCACTTTGAAAAGTATTCCAGCAATATCACGGCAGGGACACCAGTGGGCTTAGCACACTGTAGCCATGTGTGGAATCATACCCGAGGCTTCGGCTACCTTAATGCCCCTCATGGCCACGACAGTACATAAACCAATCACATCCACTCCTGTAGCTAGTTGTCAACACATGCTCTCCATCATCACGTTCACAACCCTTTATCTTGTAGCGTATCAGTCAGACTTTCTATAGGCACTGTATTTCCCTTACCGAGGAGTTGGCCGGGTAGCCTAGTGGGTGAAGCGTTCGTTCTACACGCCGAATGCCCGGGTTCGATTCTCAACAATTTGTGCAGCCCTTTTCAGGTGTTCCTCTCGGTGATACACGTCACCAACTTTGTCCAAATGGAACTAAATGATTATCACCATTTGTTTTCCATACCATACCCTTATCGGGACACCTTCGTCGGAACGAGGCCACTAGAAAACCTCCTTTATCACTAAATACCCAGAGCCTTTAAAATTGAGTAGGTTTTAAAACTAATCTTTTGTGACGTTGCTACTGGACTGAATATCTTTGGCTAGAAATGCCCAAGTGGCGATCCTATGACTTATTACATTCATTCATAATAATAGTTCTTATCACTAAGTATTTCTTTTCAAATGTTGGGTAGCCTAGTTCGTTCGTCATACCGAAGGCCAGGGTTCGATTCCACACATAGGCACAATGTGTGAATCGAACCCGGGGCTTCGGCTACAATGTGAGAAGCATATTTTCTTAGAGGCGACTAACGGGATCGGGTGGTCAGGCTCGCTGACTTGGTTGACACGTGTCATGGTATACCCAATTGCGTAGATCGATGCTCATGCAGTTTTTGATCACTTGATTATTTAAAGACCGCCGCCAAATAGATGGAATATTGCTGAGTGCGGCGTAAAAATACACTCACTCACTCACTCCTGTATAACGTCGGGATTTTCTCCTGGGAATTCCTCAAGCTGACAAAATATAGCTGTACAATGTTGATTTCTTATACAGCAAACCACGGTTATATCGAACTCAATGGGACCACCAGTACTAGTTCAGCATACCCGTAGTTCGTTATATCATTTTGAGTAAAATATATAGCAAGAGCCCCAGACAAAAACACATGAAACAGTTCGTTATACACACCAGTTTGTTATAACCGTATTCGTTACAAAGGTAGTCTAGGGGGCGGTGGGGTGGCTAGAGGTTAAAACGTTCGCTCGTCACGCCGAAGACTCGGGTTCGATTCCCCACATGGGTCCAATGTGTGAAGCCCATTTCTGGTGTCCCCAGCCGTGATTGCTGGAAAATTGTTAAAAGCGTCGTAAAACCAAATACACTCACTCACTACAGACGTAATTCACTGTACCCTGTGCTTAACAAATTCATTCAAGATCAATCAAAGGTTATATTAGAATTGCACCAGGAAGTTAAAAATACAAGGTGCTGGCCTGATCTGTAATCTATAAAGAAATAAACCAGGATGGCCAACTATAACACTGTTGTCTGACCATAAGGAGCGATTCTGGTTTACATAAAGAATTCTCAAAGATAAGATTGCGGAACAGGTGTTATGGACAGAAAAGCGTAGTATGGTTTGCGACATTTAACAGATAAACTGAGTAGAATTACACCTGTTGTTTATCTGAAATATATTCATGATATCTTAAATCCAGTTGTGCAAAAATCTTTATCCAGATACAAAATATCACTTGTGTCTTAATTACTGTTACTTTCCACACATTAACTGCAATTTAGTTGTTTTTAGTACTTCACGGTTGTTCTGTTGTAAGAGTGAGTGAGTTTGGTTTTACGCCGCTTTTAGCAATATTCCAGCAATATCACGGCGGGGGACACCACAAATGGACCTCACATATTGTACCCATGTGGGGAATCGAACCCGTGTCTTCTGTAGTGAGAAGCCATCCCACCAATTTGAAAAGACTTGTTTTTAGTTTCGTGCCAACAAGAACTGTCGCATTATGTATGTTTTTTCTATTTGTCGAACAAATATAAATGTCAGAAATAGATTGGACAAGGGTTGCCACTCTGATAAGTCTGCGTGGAAGTCACAATGACAAATGTGTCGTTTGGGGCAACTATTGCGTGATTTACAACACATTGTCCTGCTCCCCTTTCACGGAAAAAAACTGTGCCTAAACGAGTTAAAGGAAAACTTGTCTTATCTCGATTGAGTGTCCGATTAACATCCGAGCACTACCTGAACCCACGATCTCAATTGGTGGCACCACACCCCTCCCCCAGAAAACTGTTCCGTGAAGGAATTATAACGATTACGGGTTTTCTTCAGTAACCCATGCTTGTCGTAAGAGGCGACTAACGGGATCATGTGGTCAAACTCGCTGACTTGGTTGACACATGTCATCGTATCCCAGTTTCGTAGATCGATGCTCATGCTGTTGATCGTTGCATTGCCTGGTCCAGACTCGATTATTTACAGACCGCCGCTATGTAGCTGGAATGCTGCGTTAAACAAAAACCATTAATGGAATTATGATGATTATCACTATTATTATCTTAAATGTATCTTGCGCATTTGAAAAAAATATGACAACGCATAAGTATAAATATGCGGAGTCCTTCCGCATTGACAATGACGTTGCTCATATATCACTGCGTATATTTACAACACAGTCATTGTAGCGGTCCCTCCTGCAGTAATGGCACCGTATTACACGTACAAAGGCAGCAAGGAGCCGTATTCAAGTCACACGGTGCACACGCGATAAGGAAACTAGAACGGGTTTTCCCTGTCGGGTGACGGCACATACATGCGCAGTAGATCGTCAAGTTGCCCGGATGTAATTCGAGAGGTCTCATAATTTGGAGTTTGCCTGGACTGACAGAAGGTGGGTGTAGCTTGTGTAAAGTGTAGTGTGAGCGAGTACTTCTTTATTATACTGATTTAGTGGATATGTTCCACAACTTTGAATTTTCGTTTGTTTACATAGGTGATTCTGTTACCCTGGTATGTATGTACCTGACGTTGATTTTATCAAACTTGATTAGTTCACAAACCAGAGAGAGAGAGAGAGTGAGAGAGAGAGAGAGAGAGAGAGAGAGAGAGAGAGAGAGAGAGAGAGAGAGAGAGAGAGAGAGAGAGAGAGAGAGAGAGAGAGAGAGAGAGAGAGAGAGAGAGAGAGAGAGACACCGGCGACCTCCTTGTTGCATTGTCATTCATGGGTTCTGTCGTTCCGTCGCATAACAAAATTTAATTGTCATGTGTCACGCAGAAATACGTGTATATCATGTTCGGAAGACGGAAACCCCAAACATTTATGTCATATGTAATCATCAACAGACGTGTCACATGACTAAGGTATATCTGACCAGGGAGAATAGAAGACGCTGTAGATGATCCCTGATCTGACGTCCAAGGGGCGGTGGGGTAGCCCAGAGGTTAAAGCGTCCGCTCGTCACGCCGACGGCCCGTCTTCGTTCCCCAAATGGCTACAATGTGTGAAGCCCATTTCTGTGATATTGCTGGAATATTGCTAAAATCGGCGTAGAACTGTCAGACAGAAATAATAAGCTAACGAACTTCACACATCAGGTTATATTTTTATGTCTTCACACATCGTATTTGTTTATTCCGTATAAAGGCCAGTCTTCTTTTAGTTTACACGAGTATCGGACAATGGTCATTTCAGACGCGTGTACGTTTCGAAATCTTTGGAGTATTCTCATTCTTTTTTAGTTCACTAGGTTCAGAGCACCTATGCCACTTGCTTATCAATAAACAGATAACAATACGTGTCCCATTTTGAGTACATATGCTTATTCACAAAAGATGGTGAGGTGAGGTGAAATTGGATTTAACGTCGTGCTTGAGAATATTTCGCTCATATGACGACGTGCATGCATGTGTATGTGTATGTGCGACTGCTTGTACTAGCCCAGACTGAAGCTGGTTTTATAGTGCTAGCCCACTGAGATACCACGCCGCAGTGAAGCATGAATACCCCACTCAGACACATTATACTGACTCCAAGCCGACCAGTCCTTGTTGTACCCATTAATGCCGAACGCCAGGCAGGGACCAACAAGTACCATATTTTAACGTCTTTTCGTATGACGCGGTCGGGGATAGAACCCGAGGCTTCTGCTCTCCGGGCGGACGCTACCTGACTGGGACCCGATGACATTCATCAAGTAAATCTGCGAGTCTGGCCACCCGATCCTGTTAATCGCCTTTGACAAGCATGGGTTTCTGAAGAACAAATTCCAACCCAGATCTGGAAAACATAGAAGATTGAATCCAAAAACAACACAGAACAAGGCTGTTCAAGTCCACGAGCTTAAGCAATCCAAACTTACCAAATCATTCTTAGCCTGAGCTGGATTGCGTTTTAATTTATTTTCTAATGGATATAGGACACCAACTGGAAATTTCCGAATGTAATAAATACTGTCTATTTATGAAACGTACGGGTGTAAGGTACAAGGGCGTGAAATAACAAGGAAGTGTGTCATAAATGGATCACCTATTTACTTTTCGTGACAAGGCAAAGTGTTGTGTTGACAGTGTGCTTGTGACGCAGTGTGGTGCAATCACAATAGCTTGTTTTCAAAGTGGTTGTGCTTCTCCGTTCCTGTAACACTTCCTCTTATAAGTGCAATGCGGATCCCCAGCGTGGATACTTGTCAACAACGATTGTGGTGGACATGGGGCGCTCGGTATCCTTGGTGGTAAAACGTTCGCTGTTACATCGAATACCAACATGGGTACTATGTGTGATACCCATTTCTAGAGGGTACTATGTGTGATACCCATTTCTAGAGGGTACTATGTGTGATACCCATTTCTAGAGGGTACTATGTGTGATACCCATTTCTAGAGCCCCCTGTTATGATACTGCGGGAATACCACCAAAAGTGGCGTTAAAGCATACTCACTCACTCACTCACTCAAAACATGAAATGGAAGTGCATCTAAAGTTTTGAATAATTAGGCAAGTCCAGACTGCTTCAACTATGAAATTTAAAAAAAATGTTTTTAGCTCCTTTTAAATTTTCAGATATATATTTTCAAATTATACTTTTTTTCTGGGAATACGTGTCAGTCTGATCTCCAACTTGAATCATATATTGGATTCTTTGAATGGGAGACCGTTTATAACACAACTAATATTTGTGTTTAAAGTACTCACGGAAATAGAAATACAATAGTTTTTTTGCGTTAATTTCGTAGTTTTGAACACAACTAAAGTTTGATTGTTAAATATTCTGTGACTATCGTTTTTCCCAACTTTTGTTTTAAACACATTTTGTAAAATCACGCGAAATAGATGAGTTTATAGGAAAGCAAATCGTGTCATTTTTACCCCTTGAAACTTCATCGGTCAAAATGTACGTTTCTGATGCAAGCTATAGCATGCAAATGAGATGTACTCTCCGTGGGTTCGCGTACTTTTTTCAGTAGGGCAATCATGCCTCTACTCTTGATGAAAGGTTACAAGTCTATTTTTACGAGTTGATTAATACCTTTGATTGACAACTGCACAGTCGCTATGGCAACGCAAGTGCAAATGCATCTCCCGTCTAAACAGTGTTGCAGGTAGTTGTCAACACCCATTGTTGATTGTGACCGAAGTTATGATATGTTATGATTTGTTGATAATGTGCACATTTGTGTTATTTTTACCTGTAAAATGGTATTTCGGATGAAAATTAGAGGACCACATTAAAAGGCCAAGTTGGGAAAAACAATGAATTTGTTATTTTAATATTTTGTTAAACTACCTATTCTAGTGATGTGATAAACAAATAACCGCAAAAAACAATTTTATTTCTATATCCCTGAGTTCTTTAGGAAAGCACAGCCCATCAAGTTGTTGACTAACACCAAAACTTTCACTGAGACACAAAGAGATTTTTTTATTACAGGTTATAGCGTTCGCTTGTCACGCCGAAGGCCCGGGTTCGATTCCCCACGTGGGTATGGGAGACCGGGTCAATTGTAACACTTTTTACTTAACTTCTTGTAGTTCGATCCCAGACGACCGCTCACAAAATTAATCGGTACTAACTAGTACATTGGCTTCTTGGCTCTAAACCTCAGTGTCGTTTCAAGTTTACTATCATGTCTTTACAAACTTATTACGTATCAAATGCAATGACTACAAGTGTTACAATTGACCCCTAGCACGGGGCAATTGTAACAGGTGGATGGGGCAATTGTAACAACGAAGGTTCAAATGTAACAATTTGTTTATTTTCGAAATAAGATCAAAATAAAATGTGGAAAGATGTTATCTTGATCAGTTGAGGTGGAAATGGATTAACAATAAACCTTTATCACCATCGATATTTAAAATGTTTTTCGTTTAAAATTCTTGTATTGGTAAGCCCAAACTATAATACAAAGACTAACACCAAAAACCTTCACCCGAGGCTAAAACTATCAACATAAAACTGAAAATGTTCTACTATGATAAACCTAGTAAAGAACTGACATAAAACCTTCACCATAATCTGTTTTATTATCATAACACAAGGGAAAATTGCATGGGGGCAATTGTAACACAGTGTTACAATAGCCCCTAATGGCAGTAGCCATATTTCATGCCACGTCACACGTTAACAACCTTGGGCTTCTCAAATATTTCTACTTCCAAATATGTCGTAATATCTAAATTTTACACTTGAAAAGTCAATTTCATACCAAACACAATTTACTGCATTAAGAACGCTTTAATACGTTTTGTGAAAAATTTACTTACCTGTGTGAAAAACGATTTTTCGTCAACTGTATCTCGCCATAAGCGAGCAGATGAAAAACGCCTGGATGAGTACCGCAGGAAAGTAAAGGGAAATAACTCTTCTCACCTACACTATACTTGAGCGAAAACTTTTAGAGTAATCGCCCTTGTTACAGTTGACCCGTGTTACAATTGACCCCGGTCTCCCCTACTACGAGTGAAGCCCGATTCTGGTGTCCCCCCGCCGTGATATTGCTAAAATACTGCATAAAACCAAACTGACTCACTCACTCACTCCTTACTCGGAATCCCACTTGAGATAATGTGACCAAGGTCAGGTTGAATAGTAGACACTTGCATCAGCGGTTTGTGTTTTCCAGATGTCCTTGGTTGTTCTCTCCCTCCTTGTGGCGCTAAGCAGCTCGGGATACGCAGCTCCAGCTGCCCAGTGCGCATGTGCGTCGGTGGACACCGTGATTGAGCGGACATACGGGTCCAAGGACAACACTTTTGGAACACTGAGGTCACCCAACTGTCTCCCTTATCAAGGAGACCAGGCGGCCATCAATGACGGTCGCATATACGCACATGTACTTTACCAGGGACAGGTAGGCCCAGTCTACGAAATAGTTTCCAAATTTTGCTTGCTATGCCTGAAAGTTACTATCCCACAAAATAATTCATTAGCCCGAAATTTGAATGTAGAAACTAAGCAACAGATTACAAAAATAGATGGGAATAAAGATTACCAGCATGACACGGTTTTCGTCATTAAGCTGCTCATATGATGAACGTTTTAATCTGGCCATAATCTTGCATGATTTAAAAGTGTATCATAACTCAACAGGTGGGAGAGAGTGATGTATTTACAAAATGACCCCATGAAAAGTTACTAGCCAGTCGGGCCAGTGACTGTGAAGATTTGGAGGTTTTTGTAAGTTGATGATATTATTGATGTGTTCGACGGTGAACACAGAAAGCAAGTTATATATTTTCCTACTTGATAATATTTCAATGACGTTGACCTTGACCTTTGTTGCAGGGGGCCTGGTTGCTGACATCTGATATCTACATTAAAAATTGTCAGGGTAAGTGAGTTAGTGAGAGAGTTTTATTGCCGATTTGAACAAAGTTCAAGTTACATCACAGCATTTTAGTTTAATGTAACAATTCCATTAAGGCCCGAAATGACACAGGAGTGGTCTTCTACTCAATAGCACGACAAGGCGCTGAAACTCATATAATCATCATCGCACCATCCGGGATTCGAACCAGAACAGCGCAACTCTGTATTATGGAGGCTTGGTCCCGTGACCCCTTCGTGTTATGCAATCTTATCGCTGGATTGTCTGGTCCAGACTCGATTATTTACTGGCCGCCGCCATATAGGTGGAATATTGCTTAGTCCAGCGTAAAACTAAACTCACTCACCTTTACAAAATAGCAATGGTATTGATGGCGACTTGAAGTCTCCTCAGTATATAGTATACTTAAAACTTCCATTCACAGAATCGTTTGACTGTGTCTGCGCCACGGCTACGGTAGATGTCTTGACTGGATATGGAACCGGAAGTACTACAATGGCGACCTTGACATCTGGTCAGTGTGTGACCTTGCAGGGGAAAACCTACAACTCCACAGGCGGGACGTGGGTACAAGTCAGCGTTAACAACAAGGTCAGCGGCTGCTTACAATATCTCTGTTAGACAAACAATTACGATGCCAAGGTCAAGGTCATCGTCTGAGTGTGTGCGCGTTTGTATGTGCGTGCGTGCGCGCTTGTATGTGTATGTGTAGATTTATACGCTTGTACTCGTCATGGTCACCGTTCTGTGAAAATGACGCCAAATTATTACAGGAAACCTACTCAAACGCGCTTTTGAAATAATATATATTGTTTATGTGTGTCAGTGTAGAAGTTACTCGATGATGAAGCAACACATTGCAAACTCTGTACTAGTCTGTAGCAGTCTGGTACAGTCGTTGGTGGTTTGTGCACTTATTCGTATTACTTTCCTCTGCACAGCGACGCTCATCGTAAACGTATTGTACGGTGTTGACACACAATTTATACATGCTTGTGATCGTATATTTATGGATGGGGTCTCCGATATTTTACGGATTTATGACAACAGATTTCTCTGTAGACGAGGCTGAGTATTTGGGGCTCACTTCACTCTTAAATAGGCAAGCAGCGTAAATTCTTCAACAGCGCCTAAGGCATGCCTTGATGGGAAGGCTTTCAGGTTTCAAAAGAGTCTTCACCTTGTTCTTATACAGAGAAATTGTAGTTGTAGTTGTAGTTGTCTTTTGTTATTTCAGATCGGATGGATCATGAAAGGAAACGTGGTGTTCCATAAAAACTGTGGAGGTGAGTCTTGCATTTCAGGTCGTGAGTAAGTGAGTTTAAAACACCGCCCCTCACGTAAAGGTAGGTGTCTTGTGCAGACAGAGCAAGTGAGTGAGTTGGGTTTTACGCCGCTCTCAGCAATATTCCAGCTATATGGCGGCGGTCGGTAAATAATCGAGTCTGGACCAGACAACCCAGTGATCAATAGCATGAGCATCGATCTGCGCAATTGGGAACCGATGACATGTGTCAACCAAGTCAGCGAGTCTGGCCACTCGATCCCGTTAGTCGCCTCTTACGACAAGCATGGGTTACTGAAGATCAATATTCTAGCCCGGACCTTCACGGATTAAATTAATACTATCATTATTGTCTAAACTATCCTTTACCTCCTGTGACCTATTCAATACCATAATGGTATTCTGCGCTATTTGGAATATGTACATATTTCGTGGGCGGTGGGGTAGCCTAGTGGTTAAAACGTTGGCTCGTAACGCCGCAGACCCGGGTTCGAATCCCCACATGGGTACAATGTGTGAAGCCTATTTCTGGTGTTCCCCGCCGTGATGTTGCTGGAATATTGCTAAAAGCGGGGTAAAACCAAACTCACTCACTCACTTATTTCGGAGCTAATGTGTTTTTCAGGACATGCCAATCCGGGTTCTCCTGCAGTCCAGCTGCCCGGATGTCCTCAAATCATAACACGCGCAGAATGGGGGGCACGTGCACCCAGCACCCCACACGTGAAACTCTCCCATACTCCGTACTACGCCTTCATCCACCACGGGGCGACTGCAGGTTGTCACACACGAGAAGAATGTGTCAGGATGATACAGAGCTATCAGAACTACCACATGGACGGACACGGTAAGGAGCTTCCCCCGAAAACACGAACTGGTTCCCTTGTTTACTCGCGTAGCAGACTTAGCGCTTATAGTTAATAGGGTCTCGCCTCCTACTCCCGGTACTAAGATTGTTCCCGGTACCCAGCTTACCAGAGGCATGTTCAGAACCGCGAGCGCCCACGCTATTGCCTCCTGTGAGCGCTCGCATCGGCACTGAACGGACGCGAGCGCTTGGTTACATTATTTTTTTAAACCGTTCGTGACCAACTCGTGTTATTCCGGGACAAGCAGAATAGCTTCTTGTCTTCTTGTTGGAGGTTACGGAAAGGGGCGAGTGGTGACGAATGACTTTAAACATGGTCGCCATCTTGGTTCGCTTGTATACTGAACCACAAAAGAAACGTCGCTTTTCAAAACCAAATGCAAGATTTTGTTCATACAAAATGGTGTTTTTATTATGATTGTATCGTTTTATTAACATGTTTTTCAATCCAAATTGACAGTTATTACCAACATCAGTGTGTTTTCTGATGAAAAAGCATATCGACCAAACGCACCTAAAATGGCAGACGTGGTAAAAGGTTCCGTATGACATTCGTGAAAATGAAAATGCACGTGCATATCGTGACAACCCTACCAATGAAAGCGAGTCCCAAACTCGCCTGAAATCATTTTTGTTTTGACACAATCGCCATGGCACGACTTACGAGAGATCAGAGGAACCAAGTCTTGGGACGATTGCAAGTTGGCCAGACTGCACGGAGGGTAGCCAATCATTTTAATGTTCATGTTAGGACAATCTACCGACTGCAGGAGTGGTATCAGGTCACTAACAACATCCAAGACCGTCCACGCAGTGGGCGACCTTCAGTAACATCAAAACGTCAAGGCCGACACCATCTGCAGGATCGCTTCCCCAGAGAGACGGAAACAGCACGCCAGACCATTGGGACTCACAACAGACCCATCAGTGCCGATACAGTGCGTCGACGTTTGCGCGGGAGAAACCTCTGCTGTCACAGACCATATCGTAGTCCTGTCCTCACCGCTCATCATCGCCAAAACCGACTGCAATGGGCAACTCAGCATCGAAAGCGTTATCGACAATGGAGAACTGTGCTTTTATCTCATGAAAGCCGATATTGTGTTTCGACAGTCGATGGCAGAGTGAGAGTATGGTGAAGGCGTGGGGAACTGTTTTCCAATGAGTGTATTGTTGAAAGAGACTCGTGGGGTGGTCCAAGCATCATGGTGTGAGGTGCAATCGGTCTGAACCAGATAGTTAGCACCGTGGTGTTCCAGAATCTCGGTCCAGGATGAGGAAATGACGTGACAGCTGCTCGCTATATTGACCAAGTCATAAGACCCCACGTTGTACCACATTTTGGACATTACAGAAATCACATCTTCCAGCAAGACAATGCTCGTGCCCACACTGCCAGAGTAACATTGGACTTCCTAAGACAACATGGCATCCAAACCCTACAATAGCCTGCACTCAGTCTTGATTTGAGTCCAATAGAACACCTTTGGGACGAGATTCAAAGAAGACTGAATGACCTCCACCCAAGGCCGACAACTGCTGCTGGACTCGATCAGGCATTTCACAGAGTATGGACCCAAGTGCCTATGGCCTTCATCAACCGGCTAATTCATTCCATGTACAGACGATGCAACGCTTTCATCGATGCCCATAGAGGCCACACACAATACTAACTTTGGGGTATCTTAATGGTACCATTTTTGGTGATTTTGTTTGTGTGAACTCTAAATGTGATTCCCGAAAATGTGTTAACCATAATTGTCAAGTTTGAACTCAATCCTCCGTTTTGATTGTTAATTAGAGTGAATTAAAGTGTGTGCTTTAAGAAACCGCTATCGGTGCGACATTTCTCTTTGTGGTTCAGTATAATATAACTATAACAGTATTGGACTAGGTCAGTGCATATGGATTGTGCTGTATCTTATGATGAAGATGTAGAACAATAGTCCATAGCTATGGATGATGTTGTATCAAGTAGTGGTGAAGAAATGTAGAACAATAGTAAATATTTATGCATACTGTTCTACGCTGTACTGGTGGGAACGTGTAGAACAATAGTCAACAGATATGGGGGATGTTCTATCCTGTAAGGTGGAAAGATGTAGAACTATAGTCGATAGTTATGGGGGATGTTCTATCCTGTAAGGTGGAAAGATGTAGCACAATAGTCAATAGCTATGAGTGATGTTCTATCACATATACCGAAGTAAAGATGTAGATCACTAGCCAATAGCTATGGGTGATATTCTATCCTTTAAGGTGGAAAAATGTAGCACAATAGTCACTAGCTATAAGTGATGCATCAAGTACTGATGGGATATGTAGAACGATAGTCAATAGCTATAAGTGATGTATGAAGTACTGATGGTAGTAGATACAAGTGATGCATCAAGTACTGATGGGAAGATGTAGAACGATAGTCGATAGCTATAGGTGATGCATCAAGTACTGATGGGAAGATGTAGGAAGATAGTCGATAGCTATAAGTGATGCATCAAGTACTGATGGGAAGATGTAGAACAATAGTCGATAGCTATAAGTGATGCATCAAGTACTGATGGGAAGATGTAGAACAATAGTCGATAGCTATAAGTGATGCATCAAGTACTGATGGGAAGATGTAGAACAATAGTCGATAGCTATACGTGATGCATCAAGTACTGATGGGAAGATGTAGAACAATAGTCAATAGCTATAAGTGATGCATCAAGTACTGATGGGATATGTAGAACGATAGTCAATAGCTATTAGTGATGTATGAATTACTGATGGTCACATGTAGAACAATAGTCAGTAGATATAAGTGATGCATCAAGTACTGATGGGAAGATGTAGAACAATAGTCGATAGCTATACGTGATGCATCAAGTACTGATGGGAAGATGTAGAACTATAGGCAATAGCTATGGGTGATGTTCTATCCTGTAAGGTGGAAAGATGTAGCACAATAGTCAATAGCTATGAGTGATGTTCTATCACATATACCGAAGTAAAGATGTAGATCACTAGCCAATAGCTATGGGTGATATTCTATCCTTTAAGGTGGAAAAATGTAGCACAATAGTCACTAGCTATAAGTGATGCATCAAGTACTGATGGGATATGTAGAACGATAGTCAATAGCTATAAGTGATGTATGAAGTACTGATGGTAGTAGATACAAGTGATGCATCAAGTACTGATGGGAAGATGTAGAACGATAGTCGATAGCTATAGGTGATGCATCAAGTACTGATGGGAAGATGTAGGAAGATAGTCGATAGCTATAAGTGATGCATCAAGTACTGATGGGAAGATGTAGAACAATAGTCGATAGCTATAAGTGATGCATCAAGTACTGATGGGAAGATGTAGAACAATAGTCGATAGCTATAAGTGATGCATCAAGTACTGATGGGAAGATGTAGAACAATAGTCGATAGCTATACGTGATGCATCAAGTACTGATGGGAAGATGTAGAACAATAGTCAATAGCTATAAGTGATGCATCAAGTACTGATGGGATATGTAGAACGATAGTCAATAGCTATTAGTGATGTATGAATTACTGATGGTCACATGTAGAACAATAGTCAGTAGATATAAGTGATGCATCAAGTACTGATGGGAAGATGTAGAACAATAGTCGATAGCTATACGTGATGCATCAAGTACTGATGGGAAGATGTAGAACTATAGGCAATAGCTATGGGTGATGTTCTATCCTGTAAGGTGGAAAGATGTAGAACACTAGCCAATACATGTAGCTATGGGTGATGTTCTATCACATATACATGTGGTAAGCTGTAGAACACTAGCCAATACATGTAGCTATGGGTGATGTTCTATCACATATACAGGTGGAAAGATGTAGAACACTAGCCAATAGCTATAGGTGATGTTCTATCACATATACAGGTGGAAAGATGTAGAACACTAGCCAATAGCTATAGGTGATGTTCTATCACATATACAGGTGGTAAGATGTAGAACACTAGCCAATAGCTATAGGTGATGTTCTATCACATATACAGGTGGAAAGATGTAGAACACTAGCCAATACATGTAGCTATGGGTGATGTTCTATCACATATACAGGTGGAAAGATGTAGAACACTAGCCAATAGCTATAGGTGATGTTCTATCACATATACAGGTGGTAAGATGTAGAACACTAGCCAATAGCTATAGGTGATGTTCTATCATATATACAGGTGGAAAGATGTAGAACACTAGCCAATACATGTAGCTAGAGGTGATGTTGTTTCAACTACTGGCGGAGAGATGTGGCACTCACCTAAAACTACAGTAGTGAACAACATAGTCAGTGTAAATTGGTGGTGCTTTATCATGTAATTGTGGGTAGATTATTGGGTGCCAATTACATACAGGTGATTGTCCCCCGCACACCCGTTATGTGTCTGTAACTACATGACGACACTGAGGGCATTCAGTGCATATCTTCATGACAACTGAACCTACCGAAAAGAATATGCCAGGGGTTATTCCGTTGCAAATTATTTTATGGTGATAGGTGGTCCTGTGCATCGAGCATCATGTATGGCAATAGCGCCATAGAAATGCACTATAATCCTTATTATAAATATAATATCATGCCTATTTTCAATTGTGAAATGTCAGGCAACAAATAGGAAATTTCAAATCTTTGAAGCACCCTCAGAATTTAAAGACACACTGCCGTTTTTGACAACATGAATGTGGGTTGTTGGCTAAGGGTGTGACTTTGGCGTTGCAGAACCGAATACCGATATCTCAGGGTTGAATCCCAGATCAAGCCTATTCATATTCAAGGTTTGTCGACCGCCTCCGTGGTGTAGTGGTTAGAGCGTCCGCCCGGAGTGCGGAAGGTCGCGGGTTCGATCCCCGACCGCGTCATACCAAAATACGTTAAACTTTGGTACTTGTTGGTCCCTGTCTGGTGCTCGGCGTTAATGGGTACAACAAGGACTGGTCGGCTCGGAGTCAGAATGATGTGTCTGAGTGGGGTATTCATGCTTCACTGCGGCATGGTATCTCAGTGGGCTAGCACTATAAAACCAGCTTCAGTCTGGGCTAGTACAAGCAGCCGCACATACACATACCCACGCATGCACGTCGTCATATGAGCGAAATATTCTCAAGCACGACGTTAAACCCAATTTTACCTCACCTCACCTCAAGGCTTGTCAGTGCCAGGCCTATGTTCGTGAGTTTTGCCCAAATGATAAAGGTCTAAGACCTACACCTTTCCGTGTTTCCCCAATACACAAAGGGGCGGTGGGGTAGCTTAGTGGATAAAGCGTTCGCTCGTCACGCCGAAGACCCGGGTTCAATTCCCCACATGGGTACAATAGGTGAAGCCCATTTTTGGTATCCCTCGCCGTGATATTACTGAAATATTGCTAAAATTGGCGTAAAACCACACTCACTTACTCAATCACCCTCACACATAAAGCTGACAATTCGTGGTTAAACTGACACCCTGTCCGTATCTATGTCAACCTCACTCACTCACCTCCAAAACATGGCCGTGTGAGGAGTTTCATATAGTCCCCTTGTTTCACAGGGTTCTGCGTCATCGGGAACTTCATGCAGCGTCTTCCAGACCAGGCGGCACTCGATGTCCTCCAGAAGCTCATACACTGCGGAGACCACAACGGCAAACTGACGTCGACGTATACGATGTTGGGCCACCGCGACGTTGGTGCTAAGTCCGGTGGGACGTCGTGTCCCGGAGACACCTTCTATGCCCTTATACAGAACTGGCCCAACTATAACGCGACTGTCGTCCCAAGCACAAAATAGAAACGGTTTATGATACTACTTATGAAACACTTCTGATTTATATGTACGCATTTCAAAGAATGTCTTGCTTTTTAACGACTTAGTCTTGTTCATCCCGTTCGTTTTGTGCATCACAATTATTTTAAACGATTAAAGACAACGATCTTCTAAAAGTAGCAAGTATGAAGGTTACTTGTTAGGCTCTTTTAATTGGCGAGAAAGAGGGAGAGACACCCTCCGCTCCATGTCTACATATCACATCGACTAATGGTACTTTTATAGCTTGAGCCCCAAAATACGATTTGTTTTACTGGCAAGGCTTATGTGGGTAGTTTTAAAACATTAATATTAATTGTCACATCAATATCCGATTATATCTTGTTGTTTCTTTTTTTTCAATATAATCATAAACAGATTGATCAACAGATATTACTAATATAAATTTAATTGGAACATTTTCATATCCAGTTCTCACCCAAATGAAATTTCAATTTTGGGAACAATTTACCTTTTAAATAGAACGTGAATCAATTCCGGAAAATATGGTTACCATGACAATACAACTAAACGGAATGTAACACAGTTGTCCAATAATGATTGTTGTGATGGTATGAGGCACCACCAGCGACCACATCAGTACTTGGTGTAGCCACTCCTTAATGTTAAGGAAAGCACCGCTTTTGCCATCGTGTATATTCGGAATGTCTGAGTCTTGCCATGTTAAGAAAAGTTATTTTTTATTATTGTCGTCGTTTTCACCAATTAGCTTCACATACTGAAATAATGAAAATTATACCCCAATGTTCTTTGGTGCCTACGCGGCAAGTGAACATTCGACCCATAGCTTTGCAATAATGTGTGAATCATTAAATGTGCTAGGGTGTGATCGCCTGATGGAATAAACCTTTCCCTTGTGTTCAAGTGGTGTTAAGCGGATTGTGTATCAGATCAGTGGCAACATTTAGGCCCTGGTTATTCATGAAAATATGATAGATAAATAATGACCTGGATCCTCGAGGATGATCCTTGATCCAACTTCCTGGAAACCAAGGCAGAAAGTGAGTGTGACCACACAATCCAGTGATCATCATGAGCATCGATCTACACAATTGGGATACGATGACATGGGTCAACCAAGTCGGCGAGCCTGACCACCCGATCCCGTTAGTCGCCTCTTACTACAACCATGGGTTACTGAAATGCAATTCCAAGGCCACACAAGGGACAGCACCGAGTCATGACACCGAGTGTACATCAGTGTACCAACTTAGTATTTATTGATAATGACTTACACAGGGTTGTCAAGGCATACAGCTCTTCACCCAGGACTCGGAGCACCAGCTCTCAGAGGTTGTTGAAAAGTGGGAGGCGCCGAAATATTTGGTAGCTTGGTAGTAGCTGAGTGATATGGCTTTGCAGAAGCTTGTCTGTGCTGCAGTCAGAGTGTTTACGATGAAGCGTTTTTTCATTGATGAGCATACTCTCTTTGCATCATTGAAGAGCATCTTGTCACAGTCCTCCTTAGTTTTGTGGAAAAGGACAGCCTGTGGAATGATGTAGGACATTAGGATCTCATGTACACACCTTGCATGTCTATAATATTTGAATGAAAACATGGATTGGTTTACTGTAGATTTATACATTGACAGTCGTACATGTGTGCGAATGTAAGCATATATGTGTTGGTTGTCGATGGATGGATGGATGGATGGATGGATGGATAGATAGATAATTAAAAGTTAATAGGTGTTCGGGCAGCTAGGCCTATTTACACCTTCATAAGTTTTGCTAAGTTTTTTAACTTTTATAAAGTAGTAAAGCTGCCACACGCTTTAATATAATCAAGAATGCGAGTGATATTCCTTGAGCACAACAGTCCAGTCAATGAGATGTCAATATGGAAAGCTGTCAGAGATTCTACCATCGCCTTAAGTTGATTTACATATTATTGGCAATGCAGTACATAATGAGCCACATCATCTAGCTGATTACGCACTGTGCAATTTGCAGAAATATATTTATTAGTAATATTTACATATGCAACAAGACCACAATGCCCAGGACGAAGCTTGGTGTTATGCGTGCTGGTTGTCGGCGAATGTATGCGAAATACATGTGTTGGTTGCCGGCGAATACATGTTTGTATTTGTTGGTCGCCATGCGATAATAGGTTTATATGTGCGAGTTGTACGGGTAGTAGTATATGTGTCGTGATATGTGTATATCATGATAAGTGTCGATTGTTGTGCGAATGTACGCATACATGAAAGGGTTGGTTGCGCATACGTGTTGACAGTCGTCGGTTGTTTACCTGCTTACGCGTAACCTACCTGTATATAGAAACGTGCCAGGTATATATATATATATGCCTGGTCAGACGTGTATATTGGTTCCAGATGTCGCGCGTGTACAAGACAAATGGCGTCGATTGTAGTGCAAACGCGCGTATACATCTGTTTCCGTGTGAATGATATATATGTATTGGTTACAGAGGTAGATATGACGGTTCAGTTGTCATGCAGAAGGTGTTGTATGAAGGTGTTGTGCAGAGTTAGATATAGATGTGTCAGGTATCGTGGAAGGTGTGAAGGTGTTGTTTGTTGTGCAGAGTTAGATATAAATGTGTCAGGTATCGTGGAAGGTGTGAAGGTGTTGTTTGTTGTGCAGAGTTAGATATAAATATGTCAGGTATCGTGGAAGGTGTGAAGGTGTTGTTTGTTGCAGAGTTAGATATGAAATATGTCAGGTATCGTATAAGTATGTCAGGGTGAAGGAAGGTGTTGTTTGTTGTGCAGAGTTAGATATAAATGTGTCAGGTATCGTGGAAGGTGTGAAGGTGTTGTTTGTTGTGCAGAGCAGAGATAGATATAAATCATGTCAGGTATCGTGGAAGTGAAGGTGTTGTTTGTTGTGCAGAGAGTTAGATATAAATGTGTCAGGGTATGTGCAGGTGTGAAGGTTGTTGTTTATGTGATATAAGTAGATATAAATGTTGTCAGATAGACATAAATGTGTCGTATCGTGTGGGTATGAAGGTGTTGTTTGTTGTGTGAGATAGACTCAAGTTGTCAGGTATTGTGGTGGGTATGAAGGTGTTGTTCTGCAGGGTTAGATATAAATCATGTCAGGTATCGTGAAGGTGTGTGAAGGTGTTGTTTGTTGTGCAGAGTTAGATATAAATGTGTCAGGCATCGTGAAAGGTGAAGGTGTAGAAGGTGTGAAGGTATCGTGAAAGGTGTGAAGGTTTGTTGTGCAGAGTTAGATATAAATGTGTCAGGTATCGTGGAAGGTGTGAAGGTGTTGTTTGTTGTGCAGAGTTAGATATAAATGTGTCAGGTATCGTGGAAGGTATGAAGGTGTTGTTTGTTGTGCAGAGTTAGATATAAATATGTCAGGTATCGTGGAAGGTGTGAAGGTGTTGTTTGTTGTGCAGAGTTAGATATAAATGTGTCAGGTATCGTGGAAGGTGTGAAGGTGTTGTTTGTTGTGCAGAGTTAGATATAAATATATCAGGTATCGTGGAAGGTGTGAAGGTGTTGTTTGTTGTGCAGAGTTAGATATAAATGTGTCAGGTATCGTGGTGGGTATGAAGGTGTTGTTTGTTGTGCAGAGTTAGATATAAATGTGTCAGGTATCGTGGAAGGTGTGAAGGTGTTGTTTGTTGTGCAGAGTTAGATATAAATGTATCAGGTATCGTGGAAGGTGTGAAGGTGTTGTTTGTTGTGCAGATATAGATATAAATGTGTCAGGTATCGTGGAAGGTGTGAAGGTGTTGTTTGTTGTGCAGAGTTAGATATAAATGTGTCAGGTATCGTGGAAGGTGTGAAGGTGTTGTTTGTTGTGCAGAGTTAGATATAAATATATCAGGTATCGTGGAAGGTGTGAAGGTGTTGTTTGTTGTGCAGATATAGATATAAATGTGTCAGGTATCGTGGAAGGTGTGAAGGTGTTGTTTGTTGTGCAGAGTTAGATATAAATACGTCAGGTATCGTGGAAGGTGTTGTTTGTTGTGCAGAGTTAGATATAAATATGTGAGGTATCGTGGAATGTGTGAAGGTTTTGTTTGTTGTGCAGATATAGATATAAATGTGTCATGTATCGTGGAAGGTGTGAAGGTGTTGTTTGTTGTGCAGAGTTAGATATAAATGTGTCAGGTATCGTGGAAGGTGTGAAGGTGTTGTTTGTTGTGCAGAGTTAGATATAAATATGTCAGGTTTCGTGGTGGATATGAAGGTGTTGTTTGTTGTGCAGAGCTAGATATAAATGTCAGGTATCGTGGTGGGTATGAAGGTGTTGTTTGTTGTGCAGAGATAGACATAAATGTCTCAGGTATCGTGGAAGGTGTGAAGGTGTTGTTTGTTGTGCAGAGATAGACATAAAGGGGTCAGGTATCGTGGTGGGTATGAAGGTGTTGTTTGTTGTGCAGACGTAGATATAAATGTGTCACGTATTACGGTGGGTATGAAGGTGTTGTTTGTTGTGCAGAGTTAGGTGTAGGTGTACCCATGTGGGGAATCGAACCCTGTTTTCGGCGTGACGAGCGAACCCTTTAACCACTAGGCTACACCAACGCCCAAGGTATTGGTGAAGTTGTTGGATGTCGTACAGAAGTAGCTATGGGGTCGATACAGAGGTACAGAGGTAGGCATGAAAGTGTCGTTTTTACGTACAGAAATAGATGGAAGGCGTTGGTTGTCTTACAGAGGTAGGTATGAAGATAGCGGCTTGTAGTTAGGTCTTAATGTGTTGGTTTTCGTGTGTGATAGGGGCGGTGGGTTAGCCTAGTGGTTAAAGCGTTCGCTCGTCACGCCGAAGACTCGGGTTCGATTCCGCACATGGATACAATGTGTGAAGCCCATTTCTGGTATCCCCCGCCGTGATATTGCTGGAACAGTGCTAAAAGCGGCGTATATCACACCCATTCACTCACTCACTCACTTCGTGTGTGATAGAGACAGTTTCTGTTTTAGATGTTTGATTGGCATTTTAGAAGAGGCTATTTGATGAAAAATGATAATTTTCTGGGTTTCATCTTCTGTTTCAGGGTTTGTGCTTTAGTTCTACCTGATGACGGGGCCAGAACAAGTCCTTAACGTTGTACCAAACAATAAAAAAGAAGATGAAACCCAGAAATTCTCTATGTTCAGTTTCTGTTTTGCAGTATGACAATGGAACCATACATACAGTAACAGGTGTCCAGTTCTCATTACTTTTAAACCAAACATTCTGATCTTTGGAAGACCTTAGTTTGCAAATATCACAACAACAACCATTGATTTAAAATGGATAAATATCTGACATTAAATTGCGGACTCACACATGAATAACAGACATCATGCTTGTCGCAGCTGGGCGTGAAGCGGCTCTTGAAGAAGTATGGGAGGTCCAACGGAACGCTGCATCCATTTGAATGAGAAGCACAGCTCTGTGACGTCACTTCCGTGAGTACCGCAGCAAATACTGCCACAAGAGGGAGAAGGGCCTTCATCGTACAAGTCTGAAAATTAAAATCACTGACGTTGGTGGAAGTCATTCACTGTAGACGCGCAGAAGTAGAGTCTTGGTTTTCACTAACCTTTCTCTGAGTGCTATCACGTGACATGAATTCATAACACTTGATATCTGGCAGAATTTGTAACTGAAGAGCTTGGAAATTGATTTTCATCATAACCGGTACATTGGCCATATTACAAATATATTGTATTTAATCGACTTTCAATATATAATCTGAAATCATTGTTTTTCCAACTGACAGTAACATGAGTTAATGAGTGAGATTCTCTATTTACGCCACTTTTATCAATATTCCAGCAATATCATTGCGGTGGACAGAATATGAGCTTCACACATTGTACCCATGTGAGGAATCGAGCAAAGGGTCTTAGGCTTGACGAGCGAATGCTTTAACCACTAGGCTACCCCACCACCTCGTGTTCCTCAGTGATGATCAGTTATATAGAATGTGCTTCTGAAGGACTGGACCCCATCGTTCTGTTTCGGCTGCAGTAGTTGTATCACATTAGCCGTCGACACATCATTGCAAACAATCACTGTGTTAACTACTGCAGAGCTGATGATGAAAATATCCCGACATTCACACACATATTGTACATAAATAACACTACATATATGATTCTATATATGCTTACCTGTGATTAAATAAGTGCAGGTGTGAGGCTGGTTTCAGCTAGTTGTCTTATAATGCTTGAGATAAAAGCAGTGGGAAATGCAGCGTGGGCGAACACACCTTAACATTATCGTGTGAAGACATTGTGCACTTGTGCACTATTATGGACTGACGTTCTATTTGTTGTCATTCATCAGCAAATGAAGACAGTGCCTCACGTGACCAAATTCCATGAAGAGCGAAACGCTTCTTGTTCTTGTTCTTCTTCTTCTTCTTCAGAATCTTCTTCTCCTTCTTCTTGTTCTTCTTCTTCTTCTTCAGAATCTCCTTCTTACAATGCGTGAAGCCAATTTCTGGTGTTCCCCCGCCGTGAAATTACTGGAATGTTGCTAAAAGCGGCGTAAACCACACTCACTCACTCAGTCACTCACTCTTCTTTCATGGTAAGAACCGGTATTCTTCATAGACCGTAATTGGCTCTGCGATGAGAGTGCGCTTGCAATAACGCAACTGTCCATCGTATGTTTAGAAACTAGTTTAAATAGTCAGTCAAGAGGCAGTTGGGCTAAAATTATGTACAGGTTTATTAGAGATCATGGCTGGACCAGCTCCTTGCTGGCACTTGTGAGGCCAGACTGGAACTTGATGATGGTCTCTGCTTCTGTCAGCTGTAGTGGTAACTGGTTTCATTATCTGTTTTTGGTAAGAATGAGTTGTGATATACTGTGTGAGTTGATCTTTCTTGGTATAACCTGCTTCTTTTCTCGCAGAAACTTACTGATGAGCGACAAATGCAACCTCAATCCCTGTACTGACAGTTACATGAATCACTAAAGAACATTATTTACAGCAAATTTTATTTACGCGGGGAGTTGCTTTTATTGCGACGTCTTCCGTCCCTAAAACGTCATTCGGGCTACCTTCCAAAATGTACAAATCGAAATTTACAAAATGGCGGTTTCATTCACTTGAAATGGAAGTTACACCCAGTAAAACTAGAACTGGAATTAAATTAATCAGGTTGCTGCTGAAAATGTAGTAATATGAATGTTATGTGAACATCTGGTGCATGTTTGAATCATACGAGGGGTGGATGAGCTGTTGAAGACGGGGTTACCGCTTGAGGCGATGCGATGAGGCCTATAAGTCTCGCGAGGCGCTACTTCCGGTACTAAGCTGGTTCCCGGCTCCCTTTGCGCGCGGCAACTTGCGATATGCGAGACGGGGCCCAGATTTCCGGTGACAACCGTATGTTCAAGAACCAGTCACGGTTCCAGACAGCGCGACCGCCATATATGACTTTACTAGACCGGCCCGGGGCGGTAGCCCAGGGTTTAAAGCTACGCTCGTCACGCCGAAAACCCGGGTTCGATACCATACTCACTGGCTAGACCGAACCAAGTGTACAACCATGCTTGGCTGCCACAGCTGTTGACAGTCGTAATAGTTGGCTAATTTGGGGATGGTTAGATCGGAAATGTGTTATTCCTCAAGGATTATCGGCTCCTTATTACAACCATAAGTCCATTGGAATAGATATGAAACGTTGTTTGTCACCGGAAGTGCCGGAATGTCTCGCGAAATACCGTGACCAACTTATGGGCCCCATTGCATTTCACTATGTCACACATGACAATGTGATGATGTGTGGTTTCTCATTAGTAGTATAACAAACTCTGTAAACATACGCTTCAGTTTGGTAATGATGCATAAACACGTAATCTATGTTACAGCTCCTATGACGATACCGTCCCGATGGGATATTACTTTTAGAAAATGTGGAATTCCCCTAATGTACGAGTCGTATTTCATCACATTCATTGGGAAATGCACGACAACCGTCTGTTGATCAAGGCGAAGTCACCCGTTACTGTCAGGGGACGGTGGGGTAGCCTAATGGTTAAAGGGTTCGCTCGTCACGTTACCCAGAATTTGTCACATATGGTTGACTGACTGACTGACTGAGTTTGGTTTTACGCCGCTTTTAGCAATATTCAAGCAACATCACGTCGGGGGACACCAGAAATGGGCTTCACTCATTGTACCCATGTGGGGATTCGAACCCGGGTCTTCGGTGTGACGAGCCAACGCTTTAACCACTAGACTACCCCACCGCCCCTTGTCACATATGAATGTCTTGAGGGAGACTCGTGCTCCGTTCTTGAAATCACTGCTGGAAGTAGGACATCTGTCGATGTTTGCTTAAAGCTTAAAACTATCATATCTAAGCAAGTAGATAAGACACACATTGGAGAAAGAGGCCTTGATGTGTGTGTGTGTTTGCGTGTGCGCGCGTGCGTGCGTGCGTGCGTGCGTGCGTGCGTGCGTGAAACTTCAAGAAACTGTTGCCTTGACGCGTCTCGATTCATATAGCTATTAACATGGGGAAAATGAAAAGTTCGCGTAATATGCGATTGGAAACTGTAAATATTGCAGACTGAGCTACGGTGTTCTACTGTCTTCAACCTGCAAAGATCACAAATGGTAATATGCATCGGATATAATCTGAGACCAGTCTATCTTATTGTGCTGACCAGACAGCGTTAAGCTAACAGGTGCAAGGTACAATATTTATACATTTATCTGTATTTACGGCTATGTTTATGGTCCACGTTGGGAAAATCATGCGCGTACCAAATCATGCGTCGCAACTGGTGAGCTATTACATTGTTCATCAATACTTCAGTCAAACTAAATAATATATTTCTGTTGAGATAGCGACATTGAAGTTCACAATATCCGTTTAATCAATTTTTGCGATTATATGTGATAGGTAAAATAGGTACAACGTACGGACGACAGCCATTCAAAACTTACCCTGTCGCTGACTAATAAACTCATCGTATATTTGCGAAGGTAATATTTCTACTTTGATCAATCTTTACCACATGCTATTATGCCTTTACTTTAATGTAATGTGTCGTAACTATTTACTACACTCCTTCGCACTATCTTCAAGTTTACGTGGAACATGTTATCCTTGGGGTCTGTTTCTCAGATATTTCCATGTACTGTTGTTCAGAATGACTTACTTCAATTCTGGGGGCGCTTTGGTAGCCTAGTGGTTAAAGTGTTCGCTCATCACGCCAAAGACCCGGGTTCAGTTCCCAACATGGGTACAATGAGTAAAGCTCATTTCTGGTGTCCCCCACTGCGATTTTGCTGGAATATTGCAACAAGCGCGTAAAATTATACTCACTCACACTCACTGCTTCAAATCTGTTTAGGGGCGGTGGGGTAGTCTAGTGGTTAAAGCGTTCGCTCGTCACGCCGAAGACCCGGGTTCGATTCCCCACATGGGTACCATTTGTGAAGCCCATTTCTGGTGTCCCCCGCCTTGATATTGCTGGAATATTGCTAAAAAGTGGCGTAAAACCATACCCACGCACTCACTCAAATCTGTTTAATCTTATTACTCTGTCTATCTTTGAATATTTTATTACTGTGAATACTGTATTTGCGTGAATTTGACGATGCATCAGAGTGTGTCAGACATATATAATTCAGTCATGTCTAAACTGTTTTATAATCCATATGGTGGAACATAAGTCATGTCATATTTTCAGTACGTGCACATGTTCACATATCACCTTGCCTAGCAACCATTGCTTCTGTTTTTTTGTCGTCTGTGACGTCATTAAACAATTGCACGTAACGTCAATGAAGAGGGCCGTCTCACTTGCTTTCCGTGTTTTACTGCACAAATGTACATTAATAAAATTGATAATAAAGAAATTATTACGCTCGCTAGTGTGCCATACGACGAAACTCGTGCAAAATTATGTATGCAAATATAATACGAAATTTTACACTCGTTTCGTATAAGTCGTATGACACACTTACTCGTGTAATAATCTCTATTTCTTACGTGGGAATACGTATCGTAACACACTGTTATATTTGTGTAATTCACCTATATTATTGCCGTTCCTGTTATATATGTACTTTTCTAGACGACCGCCTCCGTGGTGTAGTGGTTAGAGCGTCCGCCCGGAGTGCGGAACGTCGCGGGTTCGATCCCCGACCGCGTCATACCAAAAGACGTTAAAATATGGTACTTGTTGGTCCCTGCCTGGCGCTCAGCATTCATGGGTACAACAAGGACTGGTCGGCTTGGAGTCAGTATAATGTGTCTGAGTGGAGTATGCATGCTTCACTGCGGCATGGTATCTCAGTGGGCTAGCACTATAAAACCAGCTTAAGTCTGGGCTAGTACAAGCAGCCGCACATACACATACACACGCATGCACGTCGTCATATGAGCGAAATATTCTCAAGCACGACGTGAAAACCCAATTCCACCACCACCACTTTTCTAGACGCATGTTGGAAACATGTAACCTGACTGCATTTATTCTATTGTAGGCTAATTATTCATGATGGCTATGTGGTTGACTAGTAAATCCACGTGTATTTCACAGATCCTGTGTAGTTTGTGGGGGTGAGGGTTTGTATTAGCGGTGGTGGTGCACATCGGTACCTATTACAACGTTTAGAGCAGAGAACACCATCTGCAAGCATTGCCGTGTCGTTTCGTTTTATCCAATGTCAACGACTGCTTTTAATTGTTTCGATTCGGCTTCATAGTCAAAGGTCTGAATGGAAATTAAGTGCGATTCCTGATACCTCAGATGTACATTATAACAGCGTAAATTTAAGTCTGGATTTAGGCGTCTTGGACTTGTTGCCATTGATCCCATTCATATTGCCTTATTTGTTTTTGTATATATATTTTCAGTCTGGTCAGTTTGCCAAAGGTGTATAATGTATTCATTGCTTCGTCAAAGACAAAGGTATTTCTTCTCAACAATAAAAAGGTGAATACTTATAACGCGCCTTTTCCAGGCTAGATATCCTGCTCAAAGCGCACAATCTGGTCATTGTTACCCCGGGTAACACAAGCTGTTAGGCGCTGGGAGGTTAATAGTCTCACGGCTTACTTCACCGGGTACCCATTTTCTGCTGGGTGAACAGAGGCAATTTTGAACAAACTCACTTGCCTAAGGTGCATTTAATTTCAACTGATTGTGATCTGAGCGCCATGCACTAGGCGTAATAGCTCAGCTATAAATAAACAGGGTGAAAGAGGATCTCCTTGTCTGCAGCCCTGTTTGTATGACACAGCTTACTGACCCAGTTTTGAATATTTTAATCGAATATTTTGAATTCCAATTGTATATGACATGTGTGGAAATTGTATCGTAATAGACTACGACTAACATAAGCTAACTTTTCGCAATGTTGAAAATTGTGACATGGTAATGTTAAAAGCTAGTTTTGCGTACCGTGTTACCGTTATGACGACATGATGGAATCCATTTAACACCGAAATCGAAACGGATGTTACCAAAGGTCATTCTGAGCATGCCAACGCTCACATTATAGATCGCCTTGTTAAACTACTTTCCCGAGAGACTGTCAGTAGATATCTGTCACAGTACCAAAGTACACTAGAGCTGACACACATACCGAATGAAATCTTTTTTGAAAATGAGAGATTAGAGGTGCCCTTAAGTGAGTGAGGTCACTTTGTTGTGAGAGAATTATATGACTGCAAACATTTCTCCAGCTTCGTATTGTAAATAACAAATCCTTGGTAACGTATGGATCCTATTTTCTTTGTCACAATGTAATATACTGAAGTAGACAGATAAGAAGCTCGGTAGAATGACACGTCAGGAAATCCATGAAGATCCGGGTAAGGATTGGACCTCAGCAACTCATACTTGCCGTGAGAGGCGACTAACGGGATCGGCTGCTCAGGTTCGCTGACTTGGCTGACACACTCATTGTATCCCAAGTGCGTTACTCTTGCTCATTGGAGCGGTGGGGTAGCCTGATGGTTAAAGCGTTCGCTCGTCACGCCGATGACCCGGGTTGGATTCCCCACAATGGGCTTCACATGTACCCATGTCATGGGTACAATGTGTGAAGCCCATTTCTGGTGTCCCCCACCGTGATATTACTGGAATATTGCTAAAAGCGACGTAAAACTAAATTCACTCACTCACTCACAACTCTTGCTCATGATGTCAATCACAGCATAATTTCACCAGACCCGATTATTCATATCGCTGGATAATGGCTCAGTGCGGAATTGAACAAACAAATAAACAAAAAAAACAAACAAACAAAAATACCCAATGACAACACCAAATCATCATAGTATTCGCATTTGAGTACACAACCAGAAGATGTATTGAAAAAAACACATTAACGTTAGGGCATGCAACTCCTAACCCAGGACTGGGAACACCAACTGGCCGAGCTTGCTGAAAAGTGGGAGGAACCAAACTGATGAACAGCCGCGTAGTAGCTCAGTGATATGGCCTTACAGAATTCCTTCTCTGCTGCAGTCAGAGTGCTGAGGATGAAACGTTTCCTCATTGATGAGCACACCCTGTTTGCCTCGTTGTACAGCATCCTGTCACAGTCGTTCTGGGTTCTTCCGTAATGGCCAGCCTGGAGATGGATTACATTCGATTAACTCATATACAACTTGTATGTATTTCAGATTGCGTTCCTACGCGAAGCTCTATGTATCTTGGTCGGTTTACTGCTTAAGAATAATTTTTTTTATTACCCTGAGTGGGAATTTGCTGTTCAGCATGACAGAGCACATACGTGAGTACAGGATAAATAAGATAAATGAAAGAGCGTTTCTTACAGGTAAAAGTACTGTAAATTAATAATTGAACACAGATTACAAATATGCAGGTAAAACTGTTATGATTAATATAACAACAACATAGCAGCTATTTCTATCTGTACATAACAATGCAAAAACACAGACACACACGGCATTATACACACACATATACACATGTACATGTGTGTGTCTGAGTGTGTGTGTCTCTCTCTCTCTCTTTCTCCCTCTCTCTCTGTACGTGTGTGTGTACATGTGTGTGTGTGGTACGTAGATAGACGTGCACATCTCGATTGCAGGAAGACAGGTTTGTTTTTGTTGTGCGGAGACAGGTGTCTGGGTATCGATTATCTAGAAAATGCACGCGTGGACTGCCTTGATAAGTCGGATATGGACATTGTGGGTCTCCGGCTTCCTGCTGTTTTCCAGATGTATTAATGTGTTGGTTAATGTGCGTAATAAGGTGTAGATGTGTTGGTTTAGTTATTAGTGAGGTATTGGTGTCTTGCAAATGGTTGCCGGATTTAATGAGGTATTGTCATCTTGGTTGCGTCGTTAGGTATTTATGTGGTAGTTGCAGTGCGTAGTTATGTTGATTGTCGTCACAAAGAGCCATTTACCCGATATTTTACGAATATCGTTATTAGTGAGGTATTGGTGTCTTGGTTGCCGGAGTTAATGAGGTATTGCCACCTTGGTTGCGTCGTTAGGTATTTATGTGGTAGTTGCAGTGCGTAGTTATGTTGATTTTCGTCACGAAGAGCCAATTACCCGATACTTTACGAATATCGCCACTATGGTCATAAAAATGGATAATAAACCACGTGGTATTAGTACTTACACACGCATAACAAACATCGTGCTTGTCACAGCTGGGCGTGAAGCGGTTCTTGAAGAAATATGGCAAGTTAAATGGAATGCTGCATCCGTTTGAATGAGAAGCACAGCTCTGTGACGTCACTTCCGTGAGTACCGCAGCAAATACTGCCACAAGAGGGAGAAGGGCCTTCATCGTACAAGTCTGAAGATTAAAATTACTGACGTTGGTGAAAATCATTCAAGGTAGTAGCATGGAAGTAGAGTCTTGGGTTTCACTAACCTTTCTTTGAGTGCTGTCCAGTAATATGGGGTCATATCCCATGATGTTTCTAGCACAATCTTTAACTAAAGAGCTCTGAATATGAATTTCAACATGGCCGCCATGTCAGCAATATTGAAAGATAATATTGTCTGATTTTACCTATATTTTACATCAATGTAATATACTTTTAGTGTATATGTAATGATTTAATACCGATAATATATTGCTTTTGATATTTTCAATATGGACCTTGATTTGACCTTTACATTTTTGCAATGTAATTCACTTCTCCCTGATGTTTGAATTCTTTTTGAACCTTGAATCTAGAATCTTAAAAACAGCTACAAATTACATTCAGCTACAAATGCAATCTTAATGTTTTATCAACTCAGTCGCTGTACCAACATTGGATTTTCACGGAGATATAGTTTTTTAACTATTGCTTTGAGGGTGAAATACCTCGATACATACTCAAGATTTTGACGTAACAGTCTCTGTTTACTATATAATTCACAGCGATGTCAGTGTAAACATATCGACGGATGAATATATGCTGTTTTATGCCGCATCCTGCTATGTTCAAACACAGCGGTACCTTAAGTATTATTGTTAACTTTGTTCAGCATTCGAGAAAGGTTTCGGATACTGGAGCCTAGCGTTCCATCGAATCTCCACAGGTACGTGACGATGATAATAATGATAATTAATAATTAGTCAATTTATGTTGCGCTAAATCCACACCGACACTGTGCTCATAACGCAGACAATTATTACCCAGATAACCCAAGCTGCCTGAGAGGCGCTAGAAGGTTATATATAGTCACATGAGTTATCCCACCGGGTACCCATTTTCTGCTGGGTGGACAGAGATAAAGAAATGTCAAGTATACTATCGTGCATAAATAAACAGTAAACACGTACCGTTACCTACCTGTAAATCCAATGAGCGCAGGTGTGACTCTGGCCGCTTCTTTATAACGCTAGAGATAAAGGCAGTGGGAAAAGCAGGGTGGTCAACCACACCTTGACATGGTCACTCAGATACCTGTCACATCACGAAGGCCTCATTTCTGGACACATTGCGATCAGATCGTTTCATATGGATAAGATGGATAAAACATATTTGACCTGACATTTTTGCTGCGTCATGCGGCTTGATGCTCCGAGATAAGTCCAAAAAACCACATGTTTGTCACTGGATGCGACTGAGGGATACTTCCTGGCGTGTGCGCTCACAGGTTTTTTAAGTGTATCACTTATGCTTTGGTTATGATAAATGTCCCAGTTCTGACAATCTACCACCAAAAGCAAGTCTTCGCACATGTTTTACTTGTGACCAGGTAAAGCCATATGTATTAGTTGAGTCGTGATCGAGTTGAAGAGATTGGCTGGTCCAAACATGTCTACCGACGCCATATTGCTGGATTATCGTTGATTACGGCGTTAAACAACAAACATACGAAACGAAAAATGAAACGGTCCTTTATGTGTATACCCACATATGTCTGTAATTCACGATACATTGTCACTAGTTTGAATAAAACACATTACCATATGTAACTTGAAGTTATTGTATTCAAACATATATGTAATACATAAAATGATCCCCAAACTACCTCAAAATTTAGGTAAGAGCTGAACCAATTCACATAAGCCCTATCCTTCAACACTGGAGATGGGTAAAAATTCAAAATTTAATATTAAATCAAATTTCTTCTCAAGGGTCTGCGCAGATCAACGCTCATGTTGTTGATCATTGGATTGTCTGGTCCAGACTCGATTATTTACAGCTGGAATATTGCTGAATACAACGTAAAACTAAACTCACTCACTCACTCACTCACTCACTCATTCACAAGGGTATGGGAGACAGGCGACTGTAACTACGTGTACCCCTACCTGGTAAAATGTAGCAGTAAAATGTACGGTTTCGACGACAGGAGTGAGTGGGTGAGTGAGTGCGTGCGTGCGTGAGTGAGTGAGTGAGTGAGTGAGTGAGTGAGTGAGTGAGTGAGTGAGTGAGTGAGTGAGTGAGTGAGTGAGTGAGTGAGTGAGTGAGTGAGTGAGTGAGTGCATGCGTGAGTGAGTGAGTGAGTGAGTGAGTGCGTGCGTGCGTGCAGGAGTGAGTGAGTGAGTGAGTGAGTGAGTGCGTGCGTGCAGGAGGAAAAAATGTACCCAAAGACCGTTATCACAGGCCACAATCAAGAGATGCCTCCCGACTCTACAACGCTGTTCAGTGGCATCAGATTTATAGGCGAACGACACTGTCACAACCATCCGATGTTCCCTATCCATAATTACGCACAACAGGATGAGATGAGAAGACAACTTCATCGTATTCCCAGTAGGAGGATTCCAGGTTAGAAGCATTCCTGAACAACCTCTAGAGGGCCCCGTTGCTCAAAGTGATCTGAGCGCAACGACAGTCGTGGGATTTACGATTTGATTGAGAGGCATTCTAGAAGTTGGTATAGAGATGACACAACTTTATGGATGATCAACTTGTTTATTTTCACAATAGCGACGTTTCGGTATAGATTCTTATATACACTAAACGCCAAAAGAAACGTTACCCTCCTTCTTTAATGACGGAGGTACCTATCTAAAGCTGGCGTTGTGATGCGTGGACGTCCTTTTCTTGGTCTGTTTCGGTGACCCCAGTCTGTCTGAAGCCCTGAATAAGTCTTATAACTGTGATACGGTGGCATCCGAGGGCGTTGGCAACAGCATTGTTTGTCGACCCCATCTGCACCATCCCAATGGCTCTTCCTCTCTCTTCAGTTGTTAATCGTGGAATATTTCTCGTACTCGTGGATCATATCATGCATTCTAGTCTCTCTTTATACCCTATAGAATCATTCTACATGTGAAATGGATGCAACAGTTGTTTCTTGTTTTAATAGTTGAAGAATGGTGACTTTAAATGGTTTATCTTTGTCTTAAAGCAGAATTTTATTTCAACCTTTCCGCATCTAAATCACTGTTATTGGTTTATTTCGGCATCGACGAAAATAGGACAATTTAACTCTTCTGAAAAAGACGCATTTCACCTAAATATGAATGCATTTGATAATTTGTTTTCGTGACTTGCAAAAAGCTGTGTTGTTAAGCTTTCTTCTAAACTAATACCTTCTAGCACATCTTTGATAGTTTTGAAGTAATTCATAAAAGTTGGAGGGTAACGTTTCTTATGGCGCTATAGTAGTTTTCAAGCGTATTGGGGAATGATGGGGTACGCCAGTTTATATATACAAGATACACTTACTGTTTTTCCATAACTCTACGGCAGTCGTAAGTCTATGTCAAGGTATCGGGGTTACGATGACCTTAGCGCTACGATCGCTGCGTGGACCCGGGCCTGGTTGTACATGGCGACCAAGTGGGAAGAGTTACGATGACCTTAGCGCTACGATCGCTGCGTCGACTAGGACCTTGTTGTACATGGCGACCCAGTGGGGGTAGTTACGATAACCTTAGCGCTACGATCGCTACGTGGACCCGGGCCTGGTTGTACATGGCGACTAAGTGGGAGGAGATACGATGACCTTGGCGCTACGATCGCTGCGTGGACATGGACCTGGTTGTACATGGCTACCCAGTGGGAGGAGATACGATGACCTTAGCGCTACGATCGCTGCGTGGACCCGGGTCTGGTTGAACATGGCGACCCAGTGGGAGGAGATACGATGACCTTAGCACTACGATCGCTGCGTGGACATGGACCTGGTTGTACATGGCGACCGAGTGGGGGGAGTAACGATGACCTTAGCGATACGATCGCTGCGTGGACCCGGGTTTGGTTGAACATGGCGACCCAGTGGGAGGAGTTGCGATGACCTTAGTCGCTACGATTGCTGCGTGGACCCGGGCCTGGTTGTACATGGCGACAAAGTGGGAGGAGATACGATGACCTTAGTGCTACGATCGCTGCGTGGACATGGGCCTGGTTGTACATGGCGACCCAGTGGGAGGATTTACGACGACCTTAGCGCTACGATTGCTGCATGGAACCGGGTCTGGTTGTACATGGCGACCCAGTGGGAGGAGTTACGACGACCTTAGCGCTACGATCGCTGCGTGGACCCGGGTCTGGTTGAACATGGCGACCGAGCTGGGGGAATTACGATGACCTTAGCGCTACGATTGCTGCGTGGACATGGTCCTGGTTGAACCTGTCGACCGAGTGGGGGGAGTTACGATGACCTTAGCGCTACGTTCGCTGCGTGGACATGATCCTGGTTGAACATGGCGACCCAGTCGGAGGAGATACGATGACCTTAGCGCTACGATCGCTGCGTGGACAGGGTTTGCTTGAACATGGCGACCCAGTGGGAGGAGTTACGATGACCTTAGCGCTGCGGTCGCTACGTGGACCCGGGCCTGGTTGTACATGGCGACCAAGTGGGAGGAGATACGATGACCTTAGCGCTACGATCGCTACGTGGACTAGGATCTGTTTGTACATGGCGACCAAGTGGGAGGAGTTACGATGACCTTAGCGCTACGATCGCTGCGTGGACATGGGCCTGGTTGTACATGGCGACCCAGTGGGAGGAGTTACGATGACCTTAGCTCTACGATCGCTGCGTGGACATGGACTTGGTTGTACATGGCGACCAAGTGGGAGGAGATACGATGACCTTAGCGCTACGATCGCTGCGTGGACATGGGTCTGGTTGTACATGGCGACCCAGTGGATCTGTGACCACGCTCGTTGACTTGTTTGATAAGAGTCATCGCCGCACGATGCGTAATGTTGCTCATTGCATCAGTCAGTGGCTTTCAGCAACCCATGCTTGTCGTAAGAGGCCACTAACGGGATTGGGTGGTCAGGCTCGCTGACTTGGTTGACACATGTCATCAGTTCCCAATTGCGCAGACCGATGTTCATGCTGTTGATCAATGGATTGTGTGGTCCATAGCGGGTAGCCTAGTGGTTAAAGCGTTCGCTCGTCACGCGGAAGACAAGGGGTTCGATTCCCCACATGGGTACTATGTGTGAAGCCCATTTCTGGTGCCCCCCGCCGTGATAATTGATATTGCTGGAATGTTGCTAAAAGCGGTGTTAAACTCACTAGGTATAAACCGCTGGTGTACAGTTAGAAATTTGCTTTATACGGCATTAAACAGCTTTCGCTGACTCACAACAGTTTAAAGCATGTCAAGTAGCTGTGTTGTATTACTAAACAGGAAGAACGGACATTAAGGTCGGATGTGTCCCATTGTCATGGCGTTGGAAGTGGTTCTCTGTACTTCCTCTTTCACAGCACTGCTGTCAGTTTAACGCGACGCCGGTAGCTTCCGCCAGTAACGTGATCCACTAACATCAGCTTCCTTGTTTTCGACTTGTCGCATCATGATTCGACCAAATGCCAAGACAGGATAATAAAATATGATATTTTGATTGCATTCTTTTTGTGTGATGGTTTTAAAAATGAAAACAATTGTAATTACAGAGTAACAGCGAATATTTCAGTAATGACTCTGATCCCCCCATGTATATACAACGCAACTTTGGACAACGAATAAAGCTTTCAATCTAGCTTATTTCCCCATGTATATGAGTGTAAAAATATCTTTTATTTATATGTTATTGTCAAAATAGTAGATGTCCTCTTCTGACACAAATGTAGCTCTGTTATCTTCCCAACGCAACCGACAAAGCAAAGCACATATTGTCCGTTCTATAAAATGCGACGAATCCCAACTAATTAAAAACCTGAAAAAGAGGTACATTGATGTGTTTTTGTTGAAAAACCTACAGCAAGTTTATTCCGGATGAAAATATACCCTCAGCGATCGTGAATGGTTGCTTGTATGTCATCGGACTCCGAGGGTATGGGTGGAAGCTCATAGTATCAACCACGGGAATTTCGGGTCTATAGCAGATAGTTTAAGGGGTCGACGTCGCGAGACTGCTTGGTAATGCCGTCTTTGCACAAAATCGCAGGCAAATGTTGATCACCCGCCACCATTCTCGCTGGCGTATTTACAAGTATGGGGGTTACTATCACCACCGCCACCATTCTCGCAGGCGTATTTACAAGTATGGGGGTTACGATCACCTCCGCCACCATTCTCGCAGGCGTATTTATAAGTGTGGGAGCTACGACTACTTCAGCGCCACGTGTCTCGTATGTCAGCTTACGAACCCCCTTACCGCCCAGAAATACACCTGTATAGAGCTGTCACTTAATATTTTGGGGGCTGTTTTAGATTGTTGTTACTCGAATAACGTGCCAATATTTAGTAAACGGTTGTCAATGATTTTTCATGCTGTGTTTACCATTTTGCAGAGTAGGTTTTTATCGGAACAGGTAGGATTGCATACCATGACAATGTCACACAGACACATGATGGCCCTGTCAACATTAAAATGCCTCAGACGCCGTAGGAAAGATATTAATTTCGCTGCTGCCTTTCTTAAAGACAAAATCAGAGTTTTGAGTTAATGCCTGTGCCAAGATACTTGTACTGGTGAAACAGTGTCGATTTTTATGTTATCAATCCGAACTGAAAACAACGATTGTTTCTGTTTCCTGAAATCAATAATCATTACTTCTGTTTTGTTGACAGTTGAGAATAGAAAATTATCTCTACAACTGTCGAGAATTAGTCTCGTTTCTGTATTCAAGTTCCGATTCCTCATTAAAACCTGTTAGATCTACATCAGCGAATGTCATAGTAAGGTAAATACTGTATATATACCGATAGTCATTTGTAAAGGAAATAAACAAGAAGGGAGAAAGTACACAACCCCGCAGAGCACCATTGGCTGTCAGGATAAGAAACGTCAAGCTTTTATAGAGGTAATATGCTAGTGGTTGATTAGACTAACGCTTAGTCCCTGAATATATAATTATAATTTTGAAAGTAAGAAATAAACCCATTTAAATTGAAAAGGAGCCCAAGTGAGTTGGGAGATACAGGCCTGAATTTGGAGAAATCTAAGACTTGCTTCATTTAGGGCTTTAGCATTGCAGGGAGGGCTAGGCATTAGGGATAATAAATAATGTGGTTCAGGGACTGTGAAACAGACTAGTGTTTAATGTGCATTAAGTTGATCAGTCTGGATTTCGCAAGATTTATGTGAACAATATTTTTTGAACTTCTGAAAAAAGTTTATAAAATAGAGTAGTACTCCAAATATAAGTCCATGGGCCAGGTATACGATGTACGTTTATTCCATCAATCTTTATTTCAGTTCTGAGGAGGCCACAGGCCTATAGTACATTTCATATATACACATTTCTTATCGACATGGCTTGATAAATGAAAAAGGCAACATTTTTAATTACACTTTCATTTGAAGAATTCAATAGAGACGAAAATTTATCAATTGATGGATGGACAAAATAGAGTTCTTTAATATCTTTTTTCCGCATAGTATTATACGCTGGGCATAGTAGAAGAAAATGATATTCGTCTTCTATAAGATTATTATTACAATATCTACATATTCTATCCCCTCTTTTGATATTCATAAACCTACCTCTTTCAATTAATAAATCATGAGATGAACAACGGAAACAAGCTAAAGCTATTCTATATTTCTGAACACTGACACATGATAAATAACGTTCAGTATAAAAAATGTGTGTTTATTCATAACCGGTATGTATAATGAGTAGACTAACACAGCCCACACAATGCCCGCATTTTGATGTTGCCTGCGGGGTGATGAGTTGCAAAACAAACATCGTCAAACGTAGTTGTTGTCCGGTAAGTGGGACAAATGTATTCCCGTTACTGGTAATTCTAATTTTCAGTCCGGATCCGGTAGCCGGAGTTCCGGCTAAATGAAACATTTTAAGTGTATATTTCGTTTCACGTAAATATCATGTCACATGCGGGTTTTTTTCTGATATATAGGGGTCCGGATAAACGGGTTTCACTTTATGATCAGTGTCGTGGAGAGTTTAGATGAAGAACAACAAACAGGAAGTAGCCCTCTCTTTTCAAATGACGTAAGGAGTCAGTGATGAACGGTGTAGGAAGAGATCATGTTTTCGTGGGCAGTTGCATGCGTTCCGTGGGGAAGGTTGATCCGAAGGGCTGTTTTTTGGCTGGAGTGGTAGTGTTCCCGCTTGTCAGGATGAGGATGTTTAGGTCTTATAAAGACCCGTAAGCACCATGGTCTCGACATTCTGTGTTCAGTCCACAACGACAGCGACAGTCCACAACGACAGCGACAGCGACAACGCTATCTGCAGGGACGGGACGATTTGTGTTGGTGTGTAGGACATCAAGGTATGTTTATATTTTATTGGGTGAATCCCATTTCTGGTGTCCGCCGCCGTGATATTGCTGGAAGATTGCTAAAAGCGGTGTAAAACCATACTCAGTCTTATTGGGCTATGGCCTAGCCTAGTGGTTAAAGCGTTCACTCTTCACGCCGAAAACCCGGGTTCGATTCCTCACATGGGTACAATGTGTGAAGCCCATTTGTGGTGTCCCCGCCCTGATATTGCTGGAATATTGCTAAAAGCGGCGCAAAACCAAACTCACTCACTCTTAAAACTATCTGACGGCGGTCTGTAAATGATCGGGTCTGGACCAGACAATCCAGTGACTGACATAATGATCATCGATCTACGCAATTGGGTCATGATGACATGCATCTTCTCCACGATGTTTGATATTCTTTGATATGCAATATCCGAACACATGGGACATGGGACATACTTTGATCGTACATGTGGTTTGGAATCCCGAGATGGTTTCAGCTTTAAAATCATTTTTTGTGTACAGGAGTACAGCTAATGGCTAATATTATTGATATCAGCAAACTTGGAAGGATGCAAAGGATTGTTTTCTTGACGATTAAGATCAAATTGTATTTTGCAATTATTTATGAATTATTTTTTTTTCACCTCAGTAGATTTTTAAATTAAAAATGTGCGCAGATTGCATATGTCCAATCCGCATAATACACTAGAAAAACTTGAGATCATATCGGTGAGAATACTCACTCCAACTCACAATGTTTTGGTATTTTTTAGAGAACTGTTACTTACCTGTTTTAGATGTTTCGCGTGCTTGTTTCACTCGTTGTGACAACGCTCGCTCTTGGCACGAAAACTTCTGGCAAAAGGTGCGCATGCGCATCAGTCGACACTGAAATAGAGGTGAAATACGGATCAAAGGAAGACAACTTTGGTTTACTGCAATCGCCGAATTGTCTCCCTTATCATGGCAAGCAGGAAGCCCTCATTGACGGCAGGATTTACGCCAACGTGTCCTACTACGGCGAGGTGAGTAAAATGTAACTACACTAAACCTGGGTGACGATCCACAAAGCATTCGTAACGTCACGACCTATCGTAACCCTATCCCGTGTCATTGGTTTACGAAAGACGTAGTACTATGAACGCTTTCTGGATAGGGTCCCTGGTTTAAACGAATCCGTGTCTTTGATGGTGGTGGTGGAATTGGGTTTAACGTTGTGCTTGAGAATATTTCGCTCATATGACAAAGTGCATGCGTGTGTATGTGTATGTGCGGCTGCTTGTACTAGCCCCGACTGAAGCTGGTTTTATAGTGCTAGCCCATTGAGATACCATGCCGCAGTGAAGCATGAATACCCCACTCAGACACATTATACTGACTCCGAGCCGACCAGTCCTTGTTGTACCCATTAATGCCGAGCGCCAGACAGGGACCAACAAGTACAATATTTTAACTTCTTTTGGTATGACGCGGTCGGGGATCGAACCCGCGACCTTCCGCACTCCGGCCGTGTCTTTGATTCGGAAGGACAAATATAATTCCAGTGCCTGCGAACCTGTGTTTGAATCCTGTGTAACTCTGATTATGCCTCGCTGCTTGCCAGCACCGTATATACCCGCGTATGTCGGTTCTCCCAAAATGGTAACGGCATCAAATCTGCATCACATCGGATCTTCCACTTCAAGTTTAAATAACTGAGATAATGGTCAAAGCGTTGTTGATGGCTTGATTTATCCAAGTATGCCAGTGACAGCTAAACGACTCGTCACCTTCATTTTTATTATGGAAATAGAAAACGCAAATTTCATAAAGTCAGATCTTTTAGGCCATTCATACGATTTAATTGTTTCTCATCTCCAATTTCAACTGGGGCGGTGGGGTAGCCTACTGATTAAAGCGTTCGCTCGTCAAACCGATGGCCCGGGTTCGACTCCCCACATGGGTACAATGTGTGAAACCCATTTCTGGCGTCCCCCGCCGTGATTCTGCTTGAATTTTGCTAAAAAGCGGCGTGAGTAAAACTCACTCAGAATTTCAACTAGACAGAAATATTGGAATTTATATACTGTTTAGATGATAGTAAAGCTAGCTTAATGCGGGAGATTGGGAAGTCCATTTGTAATAACTTGGTTTTTCTTGCCAAGATAGACAGTGGATTTAACTGACTTCAGTCAAACTTGTTACCACTGCAATACCTCCAACCAAGTGCCACTTGCATCAACTAACACGACGACTACTTAAACGTTTGGTACATGTTTCAGCGGGCTTGGGTTTTAACTTCGGACGTCTACATCAAAGACTGTTACGGTATGTTCATAGTTGTGTTTCACCCGTGAAGATCCGGGTTAGAATTGATCTTCAGCAACCTATGCTTGTCGTAAGAGGCGACTAACGGGATCGGGTGTCAGGCCCGCAGACTTGGTTGACAAATGTCATCGGTTCCCAATTGCGCAGATAGATGCTCATGCTGTTGATCACTGGTCCAGACTCGATTATTTACTTACCGCCGCCATATAGCTGGAATATTGCTGAGTGCGGTGTAAAACTAAACTCACTCACTCGTAGTTACATTTGGATCACACTGATCCATTTATTCTGGGATCGAACCCTGTGTAATACTGTGTAATACTTTCAAGTGTAATACTCTGTTCTCTTTTGTAATATTGTGTGGTACTATCTATCACTGTGTGGTACTATGCAACACTGAAGGTATTAAGCAGTTGGTCGCAAGTCTGTTCAGCGTGTCTGAGTTACGACCACTTTAACGCTGCGGTTATAAATAAAACAAATCTCGGTTTATGTGAGGTACGATTATTTTAAAGGTAACATTTAAAGTCTAGGCGTTGCGTTGTGATAATCGTAAGCGTGTAGCAACGAGTTATTTATTAACGAGTATTTATTAGTAAATATGTGTTAATGTGTTACATTTACGGATATCTTAGCACCGCTATTATTGTAAGTTTGTGAAAATATAGGGCCGTTACGATTATCTTAAATACATGTATGTGATTACTGCAAGCATGTATGAGTGTCTGGTCGTTGCCATTATCGTAGCTCTGCGATTGTCAAAAATATGTGTCAATGTATGGAAGTTATGATTATCTTAAAGGTTCGATTATCGCAAGTATGTGTCATTGTTTGAGAGCTAGAGTTTCTTTATGTGGTATTCTTCATGTCATATTCAGATACATTCGATTGTGTCTGTGTGAAAGAGGACGTAGATGTGCATGAAACACATGACACGAATGGTGTCCCCTTGACGACCTTGACCTCTGGCCAGTGCAGAAGAATTCGGGGAGATGTTTTCAAGTGCAGTAACGGAACTTTCGTTCCTGTTCAACACGGTGATAAGGTACGTGGCCCAGATCCATTAAACGATAAGGAGAGTGTCAGTTAATATCATTACCTTTTGATGAAACTGAATTCCTCCATATTACTAATGCTACCGACCAGCAGTAGGTGAGTGAGTTTAGTTTTACGCCGCACTCAGAAATATTCTAGCTATACGACGGCGTCTGTAAATAATCGAGCCTGGACCAGACAATCCAGTGATCAACAGCACGAGCATCGATCTGTGCAATTGGGAACCGATGACATGTGTCAACCAAGTCAGCGAGCCTGACCACCCGATCCCGTTAGTCTCCTCTTACGACAAGCGTGGGTTACTGAAGATTAATTTTAACCCGCATCTCCACGGGTGTAACGACCAGCAGGTTTAAAGTGTAGTTTATTCAGGATGACAATAGACCCTCAGCGACCTTGAAAGGTTATATGTCATCGTACTGTGAAGGTATGGGTCGTAACACATGGTATCAACCACGGGAATGTCTGGTCCATAGAAGATAGTTTACGGGTCTGCGGCGTGAAGCTAAGAGACTGCTGTCTGCTTTGTAATACAATACACTAAAAACAAGCTTCTTTCTGTATGGTCATGCCGTCCTATGTTTAAGTACGGGAGCTGGTGGATGTCTTTAGTTATCCATTACCTTCCTAACGTATATTGTATAAGTAGGATAAGCTAGTGGATAACACAATCCACTCTTAATCGCAAACACCTGTTCCATGTGTGGCATTGGAGTAGATTCCCTACATAATTGGCAGATAAAAGGGATAAAACAAGAAACCTTTCTGATTGACAAGCGATGTTATGAATGGTATCACAGCGTTCTGGCAGTTCTTCAGCAACCATGTCGGAATTGGATCCAGCCTACATAACTCTTAGCTATCTTAGCTTGGGCGCTGGGGTAGCCTAGTGATTAAAACATTCACTTGTCACGCCGAGGACCCGGGTTCGATTCCCTACATGGTTGCAATATGTGAAGCCTATTTCTGTTGTCCCTCGCCGTGATATTGCTGGAATATTGTTAAAAGCGGCGTCAAACCATACTCACTCACGCTATCTTAGTAAATAATATGTCTCTTCACTGTTGCATTTATATCCAACGGGATTTTCGTCAATAATTACAATATATCCCTTTGTTAAACCTATCTTCCCAGATTGGTTGGATCAGGAAGGGGGAGATAACTTTCCATAAGGAATGTCTTCCCGACACCCAGCTGCCCGGATGTCCAGTCATCATCACCCGTTCGGAGTGGGGGGCACGCCCTGCTCGCCTGGGGGGTGGGGACTCTGGTTGAAGTTCCTCAGTACGCCATCATCCACCATGGAGGTTCTGCCGGCTGCAGCACGAAGGAAGACTGTGTCAGAATTATGCAGAGCTATCAGAATTTCCATCTGGATGGGCGCGGTAAGAGTTCGTTTATGGCTGCGGTTTGGGGTGAATGCTGATGATGAATTGTATGGAGAAGCATGTACAATGTGAATTACTCCCCATCCCCCAACCCCTGACAAACTTCTGCATGTCGTGTACAAAATCAAGAACTGATCTGGCTTTTTTTGGCTTATATCAATATTTTTGTAGTTGTATTGAGTGTAATTTCCGTAGTAAAAGAAATTAATTTCTCCAGTTGGTCCCGTCAAGAAACCAGTTGTGTTTTCCGTGTCATTTTTGTGGTTAAAGCGTTCGCTCGTCACGTCGAAGATCCGGGTTCGATTCCCCGCATGGGTACAATGTTCATTTTTGATGTCCCCCGCTGTGATATTGCTGGAATATTGCTAAAAGCGGCGTAAAACCATACTCCCTCACTCACTCATTTTCCCTTCACGTTGCTCGAGCGACCATGTAAATACGTGTTGTTTAAACATTGTATTTTTAGGTGTCAGGTGGAATTTGGTGTATAGTATTGACAGCCCAATATATCGAGTCAAATTTCAGTGAAAAACAACTTTGTTTGTAGTTGCATGCGAACGAACCCTTTCAAAAAACTTCATGTGTTATGTCATATTTCTATTTTGCCGTCCTAGATACCCACTGAAAACGCACGTTTAAAAAACACGATGTCGACCAATTTCCGAACGTTAAATACGTGCAAATATAAAAAGGTTATTGTTTCTATACTTCTCTCACTGGTTTCAGTGCTTTCACAGTCACTTCCTGCTCTATATTTCACAAGGCAGTAATTTTGATTGATAATTTGTTTTTGTTCATTTGCAGGTTGGTCTGACATCGGCTACAACTTCGCCATCGGCGATGACGGCAACGTGTACGAGGGTCGTGGCTGGGACGCCGTTGGTGCACACACAGGGGGCTGCAATAGTAAATCTATCGGTAAGCGGAGGACAGTGTAAACAATCTTGTTATTTGCAGCTGTGAAAATGTATAGTTAAAGCGTTCGCACGTCGAGCTGAAGACGCGGGTTTAATTGCCCTCATGCGTACACTGTGTGTATCCCATTTCTGGTGATATTGCTGGAATATTGCTAAAACCGACGTAAAACCATACTCACTGACTCATTCACTCGTGCAAAAGTAAGACATTTGATAAGAGTGGCACTGCATATTTTAGCACAATGTTAATCACAGTTACCTAATGGTGGCCGTAGGGTTGTGCCCTTCCCAGTCATATACTTGGCCTGCGTAGTTTCATGTTTGACAAAACAAGTTCATTCTCTTCCTGTGAGTAGACCATTAGACGTAGGACACATGATCATTTACCTGGCACAACTTCAGTGTTTAAAGGTGATATGTTTTCTTCCACCAGGAATCGCCTTCATCGGTAATTTTAACAACCGGGAGCCCAGCGAGGCAGCACTTAACGCCTTGAAGAAGATGCTAGAGTGCGGCGTGCGTAACGGTAAACTGAGGACGTCGTTCAGGCTGCTAGGTCGCCGAGATGTGACTCTACGTTACTGGTCGGAATCTCCCGGAGACAGCCTGTACGCCATCATACAGAAATGGAAGCACTACAACAACACTGACGCTTGTTTATAATCTTATCTTAAAACTTCAGCTTTGATATGGCTCGCTTTTTATGTTATTTTATAAATCAATGGCACTGTTAATCCCCTCTTGTTGGTAGAAACTGTATTGGCAGAAGTTTTTCAGGCATCTGGGCGTGCCAGCAGAATGTGAGATTTTTTGTTTGTTGGTTGTTTAACGCTGCATTCGGCAATGTTCCAGCTACATGGCGGATGTCTGTGAATGATCGAATCTGGACCAGAAATTATGGCGACTTAACAACATCGATCTTCGTAGTTTGATAGGGAGACACGTGTCAACTAAGTCAGCGAGTCTGACGACAACCTGTGAAGATCCGGGTTAGAACTGATCTTCAGTCACCCGTGCTTGCCGTTGTAGGCGACGAACGGGTGGTCAGGCCAGCTGACTTGGTAGACACATGTCATCGTATCTCAATTGCGTAGATCGATGCTCATGCTGCTGATCACTGGATTGTCTGGTTCAGACTCGATTATTTACATATAGCTGAAATATTGCTAAGTACGACGTAAAACTAAACTGATGTTTCTGGAATATTTCTAAAAGCGGCGTAAAACCAACTCACTCACTGATTTCGAAGTGATTTTGTGAAACCAACGAACATCAGGGTGGCGTTGCCAAACATGGTAACAGAATCAGGGTTTCGAACAGGTTCCTGGTTCTTCTAAGGGACGTTATTCTGTAGAGGTGTGTACTGCTAGGCTTCCCGACTCCAATTAACGACGAATGCCATGATGACAAGACGGCTACCATCGTCAGTGATGACGTCAGTGATGACGACAAGGACGACGGTGTAAAAGGCGGAGAGACGAGCATATCATTAATGATGATGATTATGAATATAATGACGATGCATTCATGATAACCATACTATTGTAACAAAGTCACTGGTGATGCTTGTAGCCTGAAACAGATATTTTCACTCATCGCTGATAAGTTAAATAAATCACCTTCCCAAGGTAGGTCATGGTGACCACATTCAGACAAAAGTAATCCCTAGTTTAGCCCATCGAAAGAAACTATTAAATCTCTGCTAAAGACCCATCTATTCACTGCTGCCTTTCTGTAAAGTTATATGAACTATTTCCTTCCCCAATATTGTCACAGCGCCACTGAGCATCTCTATGCTGGATATTAGGCGCTTTAAAAATACATTATTATTATCATTATTAGAAACAAACATGATCCTATTATAACTAGTTTTGATGTCACACTTTTGATATCACAACAGGCTAAAACCCCAAAACAACACACACACACACACACACACACACACACACACACACACACACACACACACAAAAGCAAAAAAAAACCCCAAAAAACCTCCCCCAAAAAACAAACAAAACAAAACAAACAAACAAACAAACAAACAACAAAACAAAACAAACAAACAAACAAACAAACAAACAAACAAACAAACACACAAACAACAAAACAAACAAACAAACAAACAAACACACCACAAAACAAACAAACAACAAAACAAAAACAACACAAAGGAACTAAACACAAGAAAAACAACACAGGCACGCACACAGACACAAACATTCACATGATGAAAAAAAACAACAACAACTAAACACGCACATGCTTTTTAGCAGTACACAATTCATCATGGCGTATCGAAAAAAATTAACTCAATCATTTTTTGCTGTTAAGTTTTCAAAAAATAGTTGAATAAAATGACTCTGCCTTATGAGGGTCACAGAACAACGTGTGCCCTTCTCCTTGATATTGGCCATCGTATATTACAACTAGACTGATATCAAATGACCAATCAATATGTTGTAGATTTAATGCAACTCAAGCAAAACTCAAGTACGTCTTTGAAACACAACAATATACAGTAACCTATTCTTGCCGTTTTGAGTACCCTAAACTCAGCTTAGAACTTTCATTCCGTGTTTAGAATGCTTGTGTCTGGCAAAACACATTTTTCTTTTTTCCATTTTAAACTGTGTTTATATTTGAGTGCTAACATGCAATTACTGTATATGAATTCAATAAAGTGTATTCAGCCACCTCCTGTTTGGTTGCAATGGTATCTAGGGCTGCTGCTCTGTGAGGTGAGGTGAAATTGGGTTTAACGTCGTGCTTGAGAATATTTAGCTCATATGACGACGTGCATGCGTGTGTATGTGTATGTGCGGCTGCTTGTACTAGCCCAGACTGAAGCTGGTTTTATAGTGCTAGCCCACTGAGATACCATGCCGCAGTGGAGCATGAATACCCCACTCAGACACATTATACTGACTCCAAGCCGACCAGTCCTTGTTGTACCCATTAATGCCGAGCGCCAGGCAGAACCAACAAGTACCATATTTTAACGTCTTTTGGTATGACGCGGTCGGGGATCGAACTGCTGCTCTGTGAATAATGGAGCATGGAGTAATTGCAATTTGTTTGTTGTTTAACGCCACACTCAGCAATATTCGAGCTATGTGGCGGCGGCCTGTTAATAATCGAGTCTGGATTATTCAATCCAGTGATCAACAGCATGAGCATCGATCTACGCAGTTAGGATACGATGGCATGTGTCAACCAAGTCAGCAAGCCTGACCACCCGATCCCGTTAGTCGCCTCTTACCACAAGCATGGGTTGTTGAATCCCGGATGTTCACGGGTAAGCATGGGCCAATAGAACCAGGGGTGGATAACATGAGCAAACTTTCCGTCCGTCGGGTCATGATGACGTCATCCACGTCACCAAACCAGCAACTTGCTACAATGACATATGTAATTCAGTTTCCTGTTGTTACGAGAGTGTGTGTTTTGTAGTTTGTTATAACATTGGTTAAGTGATAATAATTAAACCTTTTGTCATGGCAATTTATTAACCGTAACACCTGTATACCGTTTTATTTGGGTAAAAAATAACAATTTCGTCATTACCTCTATGGCTTAATTATGAGTTGTTGGGCGTAATACAAAGAGATGGATAACAGGTGACAGTCGAAATTAAATCAAGTAAATTTAACATCATCTCAAAATTTGGTTTCATAGGTTTAATTGAAATTCTTTCTCCCTATTTTTTAGTATTTAAAAGTGTGTAAAACAGAACGATTGTAAAACGATACCGATGTTAAGTCCTGTGCCACCCTAACATCAAGCAGTGTATCATTTCATAGCATGTCCTGGGGTGGTGAGGTATCCTAGTGTTTAAAGCGTTCGCTCGTCACGCAAAAGAGTCGTGTACAAAGTGTGAAGCCCATTTCTGGTGTCCCCCGTCATGATATTGCTAAAGGCGGCGTAAAACCATACTCACTCATGCCAAGTCCCGTATCTTTAGGGTAGATTAATAACCACCCCCCACCCCCCAAAAAAACCCCCAACAACAACAACACAAACTCATTTCAAGAGTGACAGGCAAATGTTTCCATTTGTATTGTGTCTTACATCCTGAAGTGACAGAACAGCTCTTTTGTATTTTATAATCATCTACATTGCCCACTGTTTACGTTTAAGTTTGGGATGCTGTTATGAGAACTACAACATCCATTTTGTAGAAAATAGGTTCTGCATGTACAATGAGTGTCGTTCACTATACACAGGTTAGCTTCGTATATATCGCAAAGCGTATCGGAATATGGATACCTGTACCTCATTATATTGCAAATACGGCTGGCTAAAATGATCAGTTATCGGAAATATCGTCGATAGGAAATACATCAATGATTATCGATATGAAATTTGTGCTATCGATAATATCATTCGCTAACGTTTGTGATAGAAAAAAGTTTTAATTTTCTCACATAATATACAAATTTTGTTTATGGTCTGCTTTTAAATTATGTTCAGGGCGCTGTTTTGTTAATTATCCATGCAAAAACATGTAACCACTCACCAGTGATGTGAAATATATATCTTTCTTTCAGACATTTAGGCATTTGTGCTCAAAGTTACGTGTCCGATATATTTATCGATAATCGTTCGATATTTAGTTAACTATCTCCAGTATCTATATATATATCTACGACAACCCTAACTATAATATCGTACACAGCCTACGGAATGGGAGAGCATAGTACGTATGGGCGCAATGGTTAATAGTGCCGTTTCACATATAAGAGACCCGTGAAGATCCGGGGTAGAATAGGTCTTCAGCAACCCATGCTTGCCACAAAAGGCGACTATGCTTGTCGTAAGAGGCGACTAACGGGATCGGGTGGACAGGCTCGCTGACTTGGTTGACATGTCATCGGTTCCCATTTGCGCAGATCGATGCTCGTGCTGTTGATCACTGGATTGTCTGGTCTAGACTCGATTATTTACAGACCGCCGCCATATAGCTGGAGTATTGCTGAGTGCGGCGTAAAACTTAACTCACTCACTCACATATTAGATATTGGTTACATTTACGCTCCCTGCTGACAAGATTGCAACAATATTACTACGTGAAACAAAAAATACTACCTAAAAACCCGGGCCTAGATTTTCGAAGCTCTCTTAGCGCTAAGATAATCGTAAGTGCCATTCATTAACATTAACTTACGACTATCTTTGCGCTAATAGAGCTTAGAATATCTAGGCCCAGGGATACTAGGTAATATTATTTACATCAAGGGTTCCGCGTAATTCGTACACGTTTTTTTAATATGATGCAGTCGGGAAATATAACTAATACATAATATACTACCCATTAAAGGTTTAGACTCACTTAAAGCACTTACTATATGTTATGCATATATGTGTGGGTACATCGAAGATGAATTTCTCCACTAACTTAGGGAAACCAACTGCACATTTTATGCAGATGAATTGCACGAGGATCATGCATTAAATTGCTAAAAGCATGTGCAAATATCGTGCATGTGAACAGCTGTGTTGTGGTGTAAAATGTTGTTAAAAAATCGCCAATTTTCACTCAGTTGAATCATCTTTTTTAACCCATGACAATAATCTTTTCAACGTTACGAATTTGTTTTACAATACACCAGTTCATGTGTAAACAGTACCTTTAAACAGTATGGAAAATATTGCAAAATCAAGTTTAGAAGAGTTGACTTTAGTAAACTCACTATGGTGGGGAGTATATATAATAATACATAATTACTAGTATATATAATACATAAGTAGAACTATATATAACTATACCTATGTATCTGTAAAATCTCTCTCTCTGCTTCTCTTTCTTTCTCGCGCTCTCTCTCTCTCTCTTTCTCTCTGTGTCTCTCTCTCTCTCTCTCTCTCTATATATATATAATTATATAAATATTGTTTTTGTCATGTAGTATGTTTTGAAATTGTTAAAAACGTTTCAACCAATTGTCACACCAGTAAAAACAGGTATATTTAATGCAAATTTCATTATGGCTCAACAATCCATGCGTTATCATAATATTAATAATTTTGTGTTTGATTTATCTTTATTAATTAATTAAAATGTTTATTGCGTTGCGGGTAACGGTAAAACATACAAAAATTGTATTTTTAAAAATATATTACATTTTATGTTACATACAAAAAAGTTCAACTTTTTAACAAACGTTCCAGTGATATATCAATGTATTCGCTTAATTGAATACATATTTGTTTTAAATTCATCAACTGATCTATGAACTTAATATATCCACATATATATTTTCTTCATTCCGTGTAACGTCGGACCCGTGAAGATCCGGGTTAGAATTGATCTTCAGTAACTCATGCTTGTCGGAAGAGGCGACTAATGGGATCGGGTGGTCGATTATTTGCAGACCGCCGCCACGTAGCTGGAATATTGCTTAGAGCGGCGCAGAACTAAACTCACTCACTCACCGTGTAAAGTCGCACACGTTCAGTGGCGGCAACACAATCATTCTCAGATGAAGCGGCCTTGGTCCGCTTACGAGTTCACGAGTTGCCTCCCTTTAGCCTGGACTCCTCGCTGACGAGAATGGCTGAGGCTGTCGGGACACGAGTCGCAGTGGTAAGAGCAGGAACACATCGACTTCGTTGGGATTACTGTCACGTGAATTGGTCGCGATCGGGTATACACGTGACAGTTCAGTTTATTGGCTGAATATAGAATTTGAATCTTCGTGGAAGACTGAGCGGGCAGTATTCTCATTTCTTGGTTGATACTAAATGTAGGACTTTGATTTCGTTCCGCTTTCCGACCTCTTTTCAAATCATGTGACTGGAGTTTCCCAGCATGCGTTTACGACTACAACAAATCACAGTCTACACATTTTCTCTCCTGTTTCATATCACACGACGTAGTTGTGTAGTTAAGTGAATGTTTCGTTTAACCTGTAATTAGCATATCTGTCTATCTATCATTATTATTACAGGTGACCGGGGGCAACAAAGGTCTAGGATTCGAGGTGGTCAAATCCCTTTGTCGGCTCTTTAAAGGAGATGTTTTGTTGACAGGTAGGAGTGAGTGAGTGAGTGAGTTAGTTTTTCGCCGAACTCAGTAATATTCCCGCTATATGGCGGCGGTCTGTAAATAATCGAGTCTGGATCAGACAATCCAGTGATCAACAGCATGAACATCGACCTGGACAATTGGGAACAGATCACATGTGTCAACCAAGCCAGCGAGCCTGACCACCCAATCCCGTTAGTCGCCTCTTACGACAAGCATGGGTTACTGAAGGTTCATTCTAACCCGGACCTTAACGGGTGTTGACAGGTAGGAAAAACGTATACAATGTATTTAAATATGCTCTGTTTATTCAGTCCGGGCCTGCTTTAAATGCAAAATTGTGTAAGTTAATATTTTTAAGAGGTCAAACAATATCTATAGTGGTACCTGGTTTAGTTGTGCCAGGATCGTGTGTACTATTTCACAGCACCGAAACAGTACTCATGGTTTTAACTGAAGTGATTAAAATCGTCCCCCAAAAAGTTGACGAAATTGACGCACTGTGATATTATTTGAATTCTTTCAACAGCGGTGGGGTAACCAAGTGCTTAAAACGTTCGTTCGTCATGCCGAAGACCCGGGTTCGATTCCCCATATGGGTACAATGTGTGAAGCCCATTTCTGGTGTCCCCCACTGTGATATTGCTGGAATATTGCAAAAAAGCAGCGTAAAACCAAACTCACTCAGAACAACGCTAAGCCCAACATACGCATTAACACAACCTTTAACTGTTAAATGTTAACGATAATCTACCTGAGATGAAAAATATTCCTGTGTTTATAGTTCAGATATTCCTTTAGTCCATCTCTAACTGTGGTGAATATTTTAATACAGCCTTTGCATGACTAATTTACAATAACCGTCAGGAGGAAGTTAGGGTCGTCATCAAAGTCTGAATATGTGTGGAAATGTGTTTCCACTTCATGTTTGCTTTGTCGGACAGTGGTGTTGCCTAGTTGCCTAAAGACCCGGGTTCGATTCCCAACATTGCTATGACGTACAATGTGTGAAGCCCATTTCTGGTGTCCCCCCGTCGTGATGGTGCTGGAACATTGTTAGAAGCGGCGTTAAAGTAAACTGTCACTCCCTACCTTGTCTGTGCGATATTCAGAGTTGTAAGAGTGAGTGAGTGAGTATTGCGAAAAGAGGCGTTAAACCGTTGTCATTCAGGCAGCCATAATCGCCTAAAACAATTGTCCAGGAAGTTGAAAGTAACAAATGATGGCCTGATCTCTAATATGTAGGGCTGGCTATCGATTAGTCTGTCGTACAGACCCTGAAGCAAATATATCCAAGAAAGCCCACGCAAGTCTAGAAAATGTGGCAAGTCTAGATTTCCTCAGCTTCAGAAATGAAGAAAGTCTCAGAGCTCCTTTTCATTATATATATATATTGTTTTACTATGAACTTTTTTTAGTAAAATATGTTCATTTCAGAGAGTAGCTGTTAGTCTAGCTATCGATATGTATCATAGAAATCGATAATCGTTTATATTATTACTAAATGTGGAGAGATCGACAATAAACTAAATAGTAACTTTGTGCTAAAATGCCCCCCCAAAATTCTGAAAGAAATCGTGAATATATTTCACATCACTGATTAGAGTACAGAGCTCCAGATAAGATTTAGCTCATGTGGTACTGTACCCACTGTATTTTTTGGGAGTGGGTATTATGAATGTTGAGTGGGTATTTCATTTTCTGTTACCCACTGCTTTCAAATATGTGCGTATTTCAGTCATTTTACTCACCTAAGTATTACGTCATTGAGTAAGTTTACTAAGCAGGTATGTTCTGCGTTATGTCATACCTAATCAAAACCAACCTAAATATAATGGAAATGATTTCATAAAAGATCACTCATCCTATACTGACAGTACAACACTAGTCCTATACTAACAGTACAGCTTGATAGCAATCGATGTCTTTTTCATTACGCAAGCGATTTTTATAAATATATTCCGAAGCATTTGTTTTAAACTTTTTGCGTATGTTACATTTTAAATGCGTAATTAGTACGCAATAATTATTTTTCAATGCGTAATTGGAAATGTTCTATGCGTATTTTACCCCGATACGCAGCTTATCTGGGCCTCTGCAGTGTAGACATGTTTATTCAGCGTCCTGAATAAAGACTTACGTTTGAGTAAGCGCACAATTTTCATACAAATAATCATTAATAATTTTCCCTATCGACGACATTTCCCATAATCGATAATTTTAGCCAGCCCTAGTAATAATGTACTCTAGAAATAGAGCAGGGTGATCAGCTATAAATGCTGTTGTCTGACCACTAGGAGCATTTACGCTCTACATAAAGCCATATACTCACTCACGCATCGGAGGGACACATGTATTTGAACGTGATAAAGATGAACAGGGGTTGTGGTTAATGCGTTCGCTCGTCACGCCGAATATGGGTACAATATGTCACGCCGAAAACCCGGGTTAGATTCCCCACATGGGTACAATGTGTGAAGCCCATTTGTGGTGTCCCCGCCCTGATATTGCTGGAATATTGCTAAAAGCGGCGTAAAACCATACTCACTCACACTAGCTTGGCCAAGCGAGGTAACTCCCAGTCGTGCTCATCACCCGTAAACACGCACACCAGTGCCCCGACACCATACTAATGACTGACACACCGCTTTGTATGATTCTCTTTTTCCTGCAGCGAGGAACGAGAGTCTGGGTCGAGCAGCGGTAGCTAGCCTGGAACAGACTGGTCTGAAACCAAAGTTCTTCCAACTGGACATCACTGACCAGACAAGCATTGCATCCCTGGCAACACATCTGTCAAACAAATATGGCGGACTGGATGTCCTGGTCAACAACGCCGGTATCATGTTTGGGGTAGGACTTCCAAAATATATTTAAGGGATACTGGCGCTATATGGGTTACGTCCCTTAGGTATGCCAGGAAACTATGGTCGTTAAGATCCCATGTTCGACCTAATTAACCCGTGAAGGTCCGGGTTAGAATATTGATCTTCAGTAAACCATTCTGTCGTAAGAGGCGACTAACGGGATTGGGTGGTCAGGCTCGCTGACTTGGTTGACACATGTCATCAGTTCCGTATTTCGCAGATCGATGCTCATGCTGTTGATCACTGGATTGTCTGGTCCAGACTTGATTATTTATAGACCGCTGCCATAACGCTGGAATATTGCTGAATGCGGCGTAAAATTAAACTCACTCACTCGACTTTATTATGTTTCAATGTTTGTCAACACCAGGTCCGTGCTCGTTGTTTCACCAAAGTCTCAGACCAATATTTGCATGGTATTTTCAATTTCAAAGTGGTTACGTTTCTTCAGCCCGTCAGTTTACCATGAGAAGGGTCGTCGGTTCAAATTCCTGATCCCAGGTTGTTAATCTGCTTTCATGCACTAATGATTCCCACAAAAGTGGAAAACATTTCGGTCATCACTTCGGGGTTTAATACCACAACAAACTGACACGTCGTAAAAAAACTGGAATACTGTTCAAAGTGGCTTTAAACCCAACTCACTCACTCAATGTTCAAATCGGCTACACTGGACCTTATATATCTTTCAGAGGTCATCCACGTCCCCCTTTGAAGAACAGGTGAAGACCACGATGAAGGTCAACTTCTGGGCCAATCTTAACGTGTGCAAAACATTCTTCCCGCTCCTCCGCTCCGATGCAAGGTAACCTCTCGATTATTGCGTCACAACAGTTTGTCTTAAAATAAGGGAGCTTCCTCAACACTACCATCGCATAGTGAAACGGACCCTGATCTATTTCTTAGTAAGCTGGAACAAGCATCGGGTTTTGGGTATGATCTTTATGGCCAACGCAGTTTATTATGAGCCGAAATACATAGATCATTCCCAGTACACAAGAAACAGCTCTATCTCACCTGGGTCGAAGCTCGATGGTCTCTGAATACTCTGATGGCATGATGGCTCATCGAAGTGTATCACTACGTCCCAAAACCTCGGCCTCTTAGGATATCTTCCATCTTTATGAAATCTCGAACCCTTTTTACATGTAGTTTTCATAGAATATGGGGGCTGGTGGGGTAGCCTAGTGGTTAAAGCGTCCGCTCGTCACCCGGGTTCGAATCCCCACATGTGTGAAGCCCATATCTGGTGTCTCCCGCCGTGATATTGCTGGAATATTGCCCCCCTTTAGGGAATATCTCACATCTAGACAGACTTATAGACTATAGTATGCCTGACACACTGAGGATGTCTCCCACGCAAAGAAAATACTGCTGCCTGAGAATCCCTTGTACCCTTATCATATGTCCTATCTCAAGAGATGGTGCGGTGAAATGGGGTTTGACGTCCCATCTCAAGAGATGGTGCGGTGAAATGGGGTTTGACGTCCCGTCTCAAGAGATGGTGAGGTGAAATGGGGTTTGACGTCCCATCTCAAGAGATGGTGCGGTGAAATGGGGTTTGACGTCCCATCTCAAGAGATGGTGAGGTGAAATGGGGTTTGACGTCCCATCTCAAGAGATGGTGAGGTGAAATGGGGTTTGACGTCCCGTCTCAAGAGATGGTGAGGTGAAATGGGGTTTGACGTCCCATCTCAAGAGATGGTGCGGTGAAATGGGGTTTAACGTCCCATCTCAAGAGATGGTGCGGTGAAATGGGGTTTGACGTCCCATCTCAAGAGATGGTGAGGTGAAATGGGGTTTGACGTCCCATCTCAAGAGATGGTGCGGTGAAATGGGGTTTGACGTCCCATCTCAAGAGATGGTGAGGTGAAATGGGGTTTGACGTCCCATCTCAAGAGATGGTGCGGTGAAATGGGGTTTGACATCCCATCTCAGAATGTCATGCAGCGCAGTTAGAGGAGTTTATAGTGTCTCCTACATCAAGGATACCGTTCACACATGTTTGGCATGTCCATCCTTAAGGTCATCCCCTACGTTTGATATTTCAATGCCACAGGTAAAACCGCAGCCGGTAGTATTACCAGATCCTCAAAATGTCTCACACCCCAATGATGTTCAGCCTCGAAAGGTTACCTGTCATTTTGGGGTTATCCAGTACCCTGAGGATATCATGCACTTCCAGGATATCACACGTTCCCAGAATTCCTGGAATCACTTACACCAGTATGACATATCGCATCGCAAGAAGTGATGCAACGTATTTGCTCTTTAAACAATTGAAGTATTATTGCAATGGTCTCCTCTTACGGTAGTGAGTGAGTGAGTATCGTTTTACGCCGCTTTCGGCAATGTTCCAGCAATATCACGGCGGGGGACCCCACAAATGGGCTTCATACATTATACCCATGTGGGGAATGGAACCCGGGCTCTATGCGTGATGATCGAACGCTTTAACCTCTTGGTTATCCCACCGCCTCTCTTACAGTAGTGGACCTCCTCCGTGGTGTAGTGGTTAAAGCGTCCGCCCGGAGTGCTGAAGGTCACGGGTTCGATCCCCGACCGCGTCATACCAAAAGACGTTAAAATATGGTACTTGTTGGTCCCTGCCTGGCGCTCGGCATTAATGGGTACAACAAGGACTGGTCGGCTCGGAGTCAGTATACTGTGTCTGAGTGGGATATTCATGTTTCACTGCGGCATGGTATCTCAGTGGGCTAGCACTATAAAACCAGCATAAGTCTGGGCTAGTACAAGCAGCCGCACATACACATACACACGCATGCACTTTGTCATATGAGCGAAATATTCTCAACCACGACGTAAAACCCAATTTCACCTCACCTCACCTCTTACGGTAGTGAGACGGCCACGGTAGTCCAGTGTTCTGCTTTGTTTGTTACAGGGTAGTGAACGTGTCCAGCATGCTTGGAAGCACAGCGTTGAATAAATGCGCGAAGGACCTCAAAGGAAGATTTACCTCCCCTCACATTACACTGGATGAACTTGAAAGCTTGATGGAGACATTTGAAAAGTATGTTGTCTTGATGTAATTGAAGATGTTCCAGATGAGTATCAGTTCCCCCACAACCAATGTATTGAGTTAAATAACCATTCATATTCGCCAGTGATCAATGTCTGCATTTTATCAGGATGGAGTACAACGATCGGGACGGGATAAGACAAGGTATCGCCCTTTTGCCCTAGCAGTGTTCACAATATGGCAGATTCCGTGCCAGGTCCATAGTTTCAAGCGTGTACGGGTCCTTGTGGCCTGGAGGCATTCATGTATCCTTTACTTGTCACAATAAGTTACGCTGAGAGGGTACGTAAGTCCCAAAACTTTCAAAGTTAAATATTTGCTCACCCGATTTTTAAACGTAGTATATTTGTTCCTTTAAATTTCGGCTAAACTTGTCCTACAATCGCCAGCGGCTGAAAGGATGGTGTAAATCCAACCAGGGTCCATGCAGGTAGCAAAGGTACTGTAAATCCCCATGGTCCCTAGTATGGTGATCTACCTTCAGTTGTTGGCGATCTATAGCCAGTTTTTACATTGTATTGTCCAGGAATAATTTTCTACTTTTAAAGATATATGCTAGCTAGTTTTAACTCAATCTGTGATAATCTAGTGGTTTTACTGTCCTTCGTTGACAGGGTTGTATATATTATATGTATGTTTTATGAATTTAGAACTAGTTTTAGTCACGATACGGGTGAAATATTGCCGATGTGACTTTAAATCTTAACTCACTCACTCACTCACAATAAGTTACGACCCGTGAAGATCCGCGTTAGAATAGATCTTCAGTAACCCATGCTCGTCTCCCCGTGAAGATCCGGGTTAGAATGGGTCTTCAGTAACCCACCCTGTCGTAAGGAGCGACTAACGGGATCAGGTGCCCAAGCTCGCTGACATGGTTGACACATGTCATCGTATCGCAATTGCCTAGATAGATGCTTATGCGGTTGATCACTGGATTGTCGGGTCCAGACTTGATATGTTTCTGAGTGCGTCGTTTTGAAATGTTTGATTTTGTTTGTTTTGTTAGTTGTTTAACGCCTTACTTTCGATATCCCAGCTATATCGCAGCGGTCTGTAAAGGAATCGACCTTGACACCAGACAGTTCAGTGATCGACATTGTGTGTATGGCTCTACACAATTGGGATACGATGACGTGCTTAAAAAAGTCAGCGAGCCTGACCACACGATCTTTTTAGTCACTTTTCAGGACGGGCCACTTTGCAGTTGATGAATATGATGACGGGATTCGATGACACACAAATAGCTGGACCAGCTCGTCATTTGCTCGCCTGTACCAGAAGTAGGTTCCTCGGCCCCTTATTGAAAAAAGACTTGCAGTTGAATCGTCGTTGCGGCAAATGAAACTGATCTATTAGTTAAATTGTTCAATGTAACTGGCCTTGGTTATGTTGTAGTGACGTTTCATCGGGGACCTATAGTCAGACGTGGCCAGAGACGGCATACGGCGTGTCTAAAATAGGCGTGACGACGATGTCGCTGATCCAACAGAGGCTGTTAGATAGAGAAGGAAAAACTGACGTGGTTGTAAATGCGGTGAGTTGGTTTTGAAGGTGTGATCCTTGACCATGTAACAATGTCGGTATATCTGACACAGTGTCTGTCATTATGTTGTTTTTCTGTCAAAGGTGTACTTTTAGTTGGTCAGTGTTACTTCAGTGTGTTGTTTAAAGTGCCATTGTATTTGTTACGTAGCTGGAGAAACTGATAGTATGTCAAAATATGTGTAAACTGCGTCTGTTACTATGTAAGTGAATCTGTTACTGTGTCAGGGCATCTGTTACTGTGTCAGAGCATCTGTTACTATGTCAGAGCATATGTTACTATATCAGCACATGTTGCTATGTCAGAGCATATGTTACTATGTCAGATCATGTTACTATGTCAGCATATGTTACTATGTCAGAGCATATGTTACTATGTCAGAGCATATGTTACTATGTCAGAGCATATGTAACTATGTCAGAGCATATGTTACTATGTCAGAGCATTTGTTACTATGTCAGCATATGTTGCTATGTCAGAGCATATGTTACTATGTCAGAGCATATGTAACTATGTCAGAGCATATCTTACTATGTCAGAGCATATCTTACTATGTCAGAGCATATGTTACTATGTCAGAGCATATGTTACTATGTCAGAGCATCTGTTACTGTGTCAGAGCATATGTTATTATGTCAGAGCATCTGTTACTGTGTCAGAACATCTGTTGCTGTGTCAGAGCATCTGTTACTGTGTCAGAGCATATGTTACAATGTCAGAGCATATTACTATGTCAGAGCATATGTTACTATGTCAGAGCATATGTTACTATGTCAGAGCATATCTTACAATGTCAGAGCATATCTTGCTATGTCAGAGCATATGTTGCTATATCAGAGCATATGTTACTATGTCCTGTAAGTCTGTTGTCTGTTGTAGTGCTGTCCAGGGTGGTGCAGAACAGACATGGGTGGTCAGACTGCGACCAATTCGGCGGAAGAAGGTACTTTCAGATATTTCAGATGTTGTCTTCTTACAAATCACCCGTTCAGTCTGGTACGGTAGTGTAAATATGTACCGTACGTAATTGTTGGATGATGGTAAATTTTATCATATATTACAACAAATTATAAACGAAAACTGTGTGAAATATTTTTAGGACTAAAACTTAAACTTAACGTCCCTGTTCGAAAACAAAATCTGCTTGTCCTTCTTAACTGGAATCGAGTGGCGGTGGGGGAACCTAGTGGTTTAAGCGTTCGTTCGTCACGTCGAAGACCCGGGTTCGATTCCCCACATGAGTACAATGTGTGAAGCCCATTTCTGGTGTCCCCAGCAATGATATTGCTGGAATATTGCTGGAATATTGCTAAAAGCAGCGTAAAACCATACCCACTCACTCACTCACTCTTAATGGAAATCCTGCGATCAACAGCATGAGCACCAAGTGCGTAGATCGATGCTCATGTTGTTGTTCTCTGGATTGTCTGGTACTCGAAGTATTTAGAGACTGCCGCCAAATAGCCGGAATATTGCCGAGTATGGCATAAACAACAAACAAACAAAAAACATAAATCTTAATTGGAACGGTGGCCAGCATCGGACGTTGACACAGCCCCATAGATTCTGCAATTGCACATGGCCGTATTGCCGGTCAATAGGTTGCACTTTACACAGTGAAACTACTTTGAAATCTTTGTTTTTGTTGGCAGTGTTGCCTTTGCAAAATATTGCCACAATGCAGATCCGATCGAAGTCAGATCACTTCTCTTGATTAGTGTGCTTTTGTAGACTTTCTGACCTGAAGATCCAGGTTAGAACTGATCTTCAGTAACCAAAGCTTGTCGTAAGAGTCGACTAACGGGATCGGGTGGTTAGGCTCACTGACTTGACTAGGCTGGTTGACACATGTCATCGTATCCCATTTGTGTCGATCGATGCTCATAATGGTGATCACTGTCCAGATTGTCGGGTCAAGACTCTATTATTTACAGACCGCCGCCATATAGCTGGACTATTGCAGAGTACGGCGTAAAACGAAACTCCCTCACTCACTGTTGACTTTCTTACACTGTACCCAAATGTCACTCAATTCTCATTCAAAGCAATTTTGCTTTAATCATATAATGTATATATGCCGAGACCAACTGATGTCAAATATCAATCAGAATATCCACACTTTACTCTTTGTTTTCATAGCTAGTATTGTTTCCAGTATGGCATGCTAAGCATATTAAACAATAATTAATTTACTCTTTAAATTTGCGTATGCCCAAGAATGATTTCCTTCTAAAATGATTTTGTATTTCTCAGGGAAAATAAATTATGCATAAACTATGTTATACATCAGTATCGGTTGTTTCTCTGCGGTAGTACAGCGTCATATTTGTTTCCGGTAAGGGAGATAATACATTTTGTTGCTTATTGTAGTACCGAGAACTAATTTTCTCTTGAGTATGTAACGATTAGTCAAAATGAATATTCAACATTAATTACTATACGACACAACCATGCATATGTCATCCTTGTAACAGGCATTTATAGAGCATGAAAACGTGTATTAGGGCTTTCTTGACATCTTAATGGCCTTGAACAGTTTCTGACACTGCTGGAGAAATAATATTTGATGAAGGTCGTGTGGGAAACATTGATTATATTGAGAACCTCTAATGGAATCGTAATAGTATGAGCAGATACATTGCTGTCAAAGCTATGGAGTTTATGTTTTCGTTCGGGTTTGCATTTTAGAAAGAACCTACCAGCTTTGTTTTATCAGCTTGCCTGGTCTGAAAGGCCACCAAGCGACGTTCAGAAATGGTTTGATGTTCAGTGCATGGGAAGATGTAACGGTATCCTAAAAAAAATGGAGTTGATTTGTGAGATGAAGAGAGCTAGTGTTAGGCTAAGATTTCACTACAAACAACACTCAATATTGTTTTGACGTTAGTGTTTGCGAAGTAGTATGACCGTATAACAGAAAGCTATATTGCGTTCTTTTGCACGTGGGGCGGTGGGTAGCCGAATGGTTAAAGCGTTGGCACCTCACATCGAAAACCCGGGTTCGATTCCCCACATGGGTAAAGTATGTGAAGTTCTTTTGCGGGTGTCCCCCGCCGTGATGTTGCTGAAATATTGCTAAAAGCGGCGTAAAACCTTACTCACTCACTGACTCTTTTGCAGGTGCAGACACCATTGTGTATCTTGCAACACTTCCGCCGGAAACGATGTCGCCACGAGGGGAACTGGTTACAAAACGCAAGATCAAGCCATGGACCAAAGGAACTGTACTATGAAGCGTTCATGGGTTATATTTTGTTATGCAAGTTCTGTGGGGGGCGATGGGGTAGCCTAGTGGTTAAAGCGTTCGCTCGTCACGCTGAAGTCCCGGGTTCGATTCCCCATATGGGTACAATGTGTGAAGCCCATTTCTGGTGTCCCCCGCCGTGATATTGCTGGAATATTGCTAAAAGCGGCGTAAAACCATACTCACTCACTCCAAGTTCTGTGCATATGTATACGGCTGTAATTCATGAAATTGTGGTTGACCAATTATCGGCAGGGATAAGTGAGTTTGTGACATGGTGGAACGTATGTTAATGTAATACTGGGTCTCGATCCAATAAGAGTTGGTTGCGTTACGAGCTATCCTAGCTATATAGTTTATCATACGCTTACGCATGACGTAGTGCTACGAGCATTTGTTTCATACAACAGCTGATGTTTTCAAAGTGTTTTAATTAATGTGTTTACTGATCAAAGTATATTTTCCCCAATAACATAGATGCTAGTGTGTAGAAGTATTTTTGGATGTCAAACATGATATAATGGCGTGGTTGATACGGATCGGCAATGTTTAGCTCAATGTTTATTCAAGAAGGACTGACATTAGATATTTACTGTCTACATTTGTGAAACCGTTCTCCTTAAAAGTTTAGTAATAAAATCTATCAATAATGTAGTTTTGTGTATATGTGCTTAAAGACAGGGGCGGTGGGGTAACCTAGTTGCCAAAGCGTTCGCTCGTCACGCCGAAGGTTCGATTTCCACATGGATACAGTGAGTGAAGCCCATTTCTGGTGTCCCCTGCCGTGATATTGCTGGAATATTGCTAAAAGCGGCATAAAACCAAACTCACTCACTCACTCGCTTAAAGACAGCTTCCCGACACTAAGGTCGTGCATTTACATGCACGGCCTGCAGCTTGAATGTGTGTGTCTTTGTTGGGAGCAGGAGACCCCAACACATGGTTTGTTTATTTTGAACAACGCAAAATGACTTTGTAGCTGTCGCATTCTAAAAACACATTTGCTGAAAGTTCCAATAAATAAGTTGAACACACGTTAGAAAGATGTTGAGAGTCTAAGCATCTCTTTTACACAGAATTCTTCATTAAGGAAAGAGTTTTATTTCCTTTTCCGTGGGTTTTATGTGTATATATTTCTTATTAAATACCATTTTCTGCAAGTCATATCTTTAAAATGCTGTAGGTGAAATTGGGTTTAACGTCGTGCTTGAGAATATTTCGCCCATATGACGACGTGCATGCGTGTGTATGTGTGGCTGCTTGTACTAGCCCAGACTGAGGGTGGTTTTATAATGCTAGCCCACTGAGATACCATGCCACAGTGAAGCATGAATACCCCACTCAGACACATTATACTGACTCCGAGCCGACCAGTCCTTGTTGTACCCATTAATGCTGAGCACCAGGCAGGGACCAACAAGTACCATATTTTAACGTCTTTTGGTATGACGCGGTCGGGGATCGTTCCTGTATTTATAGAGCTATGAATGTGTATATACCATGCTGCCGTTTGTGGAAACATTAGAATGGTTATGAATCTGAAGCTGCATCTACACAGTGCAAAAATAATATGTTTCAAGGCAAGCATCACAGTTTTGTGTTTTGTAACTGGAAGTGGTGAGTAAATGTGTTGTGGCCTTTGGTGGTTATCATGACAGGCAAACTGGGGCACTACAGAGGCAGTTTTCTTTTGGAATTTTGTGAAACAAGTGACCTTAGGTAAAATGTACTTTACCTGTAGGAACATAATAAGTTTCGTACGCGACCACGGCTGGGGCCTTTTCCGATGTGCGTCGCAACAAAAACATGTTATTCTCGTAGGCTGGTGAATTTACATCAGGCCCTATGGTTTAATGTGGAACTTGTTCGTATATTGGCAGAAACAATTCTCAACAACTCTCTTAACGACACGGAAATATCAGCCTGATCAGGACAGTATCAGTGTATTTATTAGGACTGTGTATTGGCAAATACTGGTTGACTTGTTGTTTAACGCCGCACTCAGCAATATTCCAGCTGATCACGGCATGTAAATATTCGACTCTGGACCCGCCAGTCCAGTGATCAACAGCATGAGCATCGACCTACGCAATTTGGATACGATGGCAAGTCACCACTTGATCCCGTTAGTCGCATCTTAGAACAAGCATGGGTTACAGAAGATCAATTCTAACGCGGATCTTCACGGGAGTATTGACTAATGTATTGTATACCAGTATATTGCGATACATTGGTAGTTTAAGTGTACATACCACTAAAAGTGTTAAAGTAGCATTGATTCAATCGTCTAAAACATTGGTTGGACAGTTAAGGATGCTTTCCTTTTTGTGCAATTCATAGCATATAGATTATGTCGTTTTATCAATTAAGAGCAATGGGAAACTTTAGAGGTGAATGAAAGTGTTTTAACGTAAACCATACTCATAAGGACAAAATTTCGTTTACCCTATCCACTATTTCCCAGGAATATTATTACAATACGCGTCGTTTGAAAAGGGAATTGCAATATTATACAGGTAATATTGTGCTGTCCTTACTTTTATGTATGAGGTGATATGGAACTTTCAACACGGTGACACAAACGGGAGATCGTGGAAACAGAAACCATATCATTTTAGGTCAACCAGAGGTAAACAAATAACAGAATCGAATTACAACATCACAAGGGAAATATTAGCTTTAAATTATCCATTTGAAACATGCCGTCATCAAATCGAATCGAAAATTCAAATCGAAACTGATAAATATTTGAGAAATGCTCTTCCTGTCATTTTGAAAAGTAAGTTTTCACATTTCTGTCGTTCTCAGTCCATATCTGTGATATTGTTTTGATTACTTCCAGACACACCACTTTACAATTGCACTTTCATTTAGAAAATAAAACAGGAGGTTTGAACACGTTGCAGATTTAATTCCTTGAATGCCTTGGATAAATGGGGAATAATTCAGAGTAAAAATTCATATCCTCTAGACACTTTCAGCTTTCGGAGAATACAAATAAAACCTGAAGAGGTCATCTGCTTTTCTCTTCATTGTATATGTCCAGATCAAACTGAAACTTGGACAATTGTCCATGAGGCCTATTTGAATCGTTTTATCATGTATACTTGTTACATACATACGTTTCCTATGATACTCAATCCCTATGGGAGTATCCACAAGTTTGAACATCCGAGTTGAATGAAATGTTTTCAAACACATTGTGTACAGAACATTTTTTATGCTATAATATAGAACACTATGCGTTGGGTCAATGGTTAAAACGGGAAAACGTTGTTTGACTTTGAAAACCGACTCGTATTTGTCATCGTATGACACAGAAAATATCCCTCGCTCACAGGATACATACAATGTCTTATATCTTGGAAATATCACGAGATTTCTATTAAAATGGTTTCGAGGTGCTTTCATTATTTTGTCGACAACATACCAATTCAGGGATATCTTTAGAATGTTTCATCTCCTGACACTTAAAAATATCAAACGACAATTTTCGTCAACTGCTATTGAGTAAAAATAATTCGATTTTATAACACCAAGTTGAAGATCATGTGTCAGGTAAGGCACAAGCTTACTTCTCTTACCACGTTTCAATCCAATGATAATCTGTCTTGATTCTGGCATGTATGCAAAAACTGTAGGATAATTTGGAACCCTTAAATATGTATGCAAGGATTTATTAAGTAGGTGCAACTAGTAGATATTATGATCCCATGGGCACAGGATCAGGATCCTTATCCTCATGTTAAGGTCTTCGAGTGTTTTCTTCTTTGCTGAATAGAAAAAAAGAATAGCATTAATATTTCCGCACTTGTACATACGGAATATAGCAGGTGGACATTTTCAACACTTTCTATATGCTTTTGAGGCAATAGAATAGAAATTAACCTAGATGAAACAGTAGTAGAAATACTGTGAAAACTATCAACGGAAAACAGTAGACCTAAGTTTAAAACAAATGGAATTTGGAGCTGCAGCTTGATTGGTTGAAATTGTCAAACAAATACTATTATCAAAGTCGTGGACATGAAACATAGAAAACAAGTGCAGCGGAAAGTCACTGAAATCAGTTTGAGTTGAGAAGGCTGATTAGCCGTCAGTTGCAGATTAAAATATTAGTGACCACACAACAGAATTAAAGGCTGTGTGGCAAAAAATACAGCTTGTTTACCAGTTGTTGACATACTGGAAGTAGTTCTTGAACCGGTGACCCGTGAAGATCCGGGGTAGAATAGGTCTACCATACTCAGCAATATTTCAGCTATATGGCGGCAGTCTCAACAGCATGAGCATCGCTCTGCGCAATTGGGAACGGATGACATGTGTCAACCAAGCCAACGAGCCTGACCACCCGATCCCGTTAGTCGCCTCTTACGACAAGCATTGGGTAACGTTACTGAAGGCTCATTCTAACCCGGACCTTCACGGGTTTGGGTAGTAGTGCCACAGTAGCATAGGCTGATGCAATAAGTGAACAACAACTAACAATGTGTCGACTTTTATGTGAGGTATTTGACTAAACTGAATGTTTAAACAGGGGTACCGCAATATCCTAAACTGGTGTAATCAATGAATGGTATTTGACCATGTACATCGGTTTCCATGTTTCAAATACATGTAGTATCTATTACAAGATCCCACATTTCTGAAATTTACATTTTGTAAAATTATTGACTCTATGCTTTGTAAAAGAATTTCAAGCACAATGGAAAACATATAGATTTTCACTCTATTTATGACACTATGCTTCGCAAAGATTGTCACTCGCCCATTAGATTTCTGCATCCAGTGTGCTCTTCCTTTTGTCCGCGTACTAAGAAAGCACTTTAGTTCCAAACCTACGAACCTGTAAGACGTGCAACCCACGGTGTGATGACACGCTTCCTCACACATCTTTAGACCAAAGTGGACTTCTATCTAAGAAAATCTTTTCAGAATATCCAAATCCAAACAAATGCGCGAGAAGTCCCAGTTGCAGAATGATTCGAACACACTTCATTTTGAGAATATTTGTCAAACTCATCAGTTACAACTACCAGGTAGATCATGTGATGCTCTCATTCATTATGTATGTTCTAAATATACACATCTTCAGGTGGCAAGCATTAGAAAGGTCAGGGAGAGTCTGCTGATAGTTTTCACTAGTCCCATGGACCTTTGGTTTCAGTGTGAACAACTCTCCACAAGCCTGCATGACAAAACTGAGGTCTTTGGTTTTCGAATAGTTAAATAGTCCTTATGCCAAGCCATATTCCTGCAGCTCCTGTATTCACAACATTTGAGAAACACTCAAAGCGTGTGAATCGGCTCATATTATTGATTGATTGCTGTTAACCTACTTACCATTTGTAGATTTACCGAATCCAGTGAGAAAGATTTCAATTTCGTTTCTTTTTTGGATGTCGAAAATATTCGACTGGGCTGAGGTGTTTACATTAATATTTTCATACCTATGACTAATTCTTTTATTGGCAATAATTCATCTGAAAACATATTTCTACATGAAAAAATAATGCCCAAGTATATATAGAAGGAGATTACTTCCATTGGTTTAACTGTTATTACTCGCTTTAGTTTTCAGGTAATTTACCTCTTCTTTTGAAAATTATAATTTCTTTGAAAAGGCAAATAAACGAATTGACTGATGTCAACTTCTGTAAACACAGCGTTTCAGTGAATATTCTTACCCGTACAGCCGATGAATAACACAGGGAAGCAGGTGGCAATGCATGTACATGTGAGAAACAACAGTGATACTATAACAAAGGAGGACTCCCAGCAAGGGAAGTAGTTTATTGGCGCTGTTTCGCAATGGCCGTGGACAACAGGAAGCTGGCATCAAATATTGTCCTATTGTCCATTAACACTGCAGAATTTCCCTTTCTTTTCAATAAAAGATACTTAGGAGCTAAGTAAACAAGCTCTTAACAAGTACTAGTAGTCTATTGGCGCTGACTAAGATATTTTTTGCTTCAGTCTAAAATGCATTTTACTTGCATTTTAATACTTTTGGAATTGTATATAAAGACACAATAATAATTTCTTCGTTTCTTTCAGATGCATATAAGATAAGGTATTTCAATGCGTTAAGTATTTAAAGATGCAATAA